CCCTGCTCACTCCCCTGCTTGCCCCTAGGCTCCCCAGCACCTGGCCAACTCCCCCACAGCCACACCAACCTTCCCGCCCTGAGTCCACCTCCAGCACCATGCCCAGTGCGACTCCTCTACCCTGCCCACTTGGCCCCTACAGGGCCACTACCATTCCCACACCCGACTCCAGCCCAACTCCGAGTCCAGCACCGCTATGATACCATTGCCACTATCGCAGCCCTATGCTCCTTCCTTTATTTACCTGTTATTGTTTGTTTTGACCCTCAGTCATTGCCGGCCGCTATGTGGCCAACCCCACTCCTTATTCCTGTTTGCTTCCGGACCCTTCGGCCTTCAGCCCAGGTCCACTTCCATTCATTCTTTCTCACTATATATATCCTGTATGTTACTTTATTGTACCTTAGCTCTAATATTGATTTGACCATGACCTTGTCAGGGCCCGGCCTCGGACAAGGAGGCACCCTGACCTCAACCCCCATCTAACCTGTCCTCACACTATGCGGGGCATGAGATGTATAGTAAAGGAAATAGAATATGTACACTTGCCTATGCAGGGCATGAGATGAGAAGAAGGGTAAAGGTCTCATCTCCCCACATGGTTGCTATATAAAGGAATGGGTCACATGCCCACAACTATACAGCTCCTAGAGTTGTGTAGTGTGACCCAGAGGGAACATCCAGGTGGCAGTGCCCAGTAAGCATGGGAACATTCTGGGCGAGTTGCTCGCCCAGAACTGTGGCTGTGACCCGTGGGAGCATTCTGGGCAAGCTGCTCGCTCAGAAAGTTCCCACGCTATCCCATGTGCGCGGATACACAACACAGAAAGGCAACAACAAGGCAACAATGAAGGAATGGAAGGAAGGGATTGGTTGGGGAGTCTGGGGCACCCTAGGGCAGGGTGCTGAACCCTGACAGACCTCTCAAGTCCTGACCCCAACAAGGCAACCCCAGTAAGTCTGAAATGAGGGCCAAGAGACAGCTAGGGGGCACAGCACTCCTTTAGAGTCGCTGAGGCCAAATGCCCTACCCTCAGGCCTTGTTCCCAGCATCATGGCCATCGTGGCCTATAGCAGCCCGCAACAGCGACCCTTGGTGCCGACCCCAGACCAGTGTCTAACACCCATCCATAATCCTGACCAGAAAAGCAGGGGGTTTTTTGAGAGTTGCACAGCAAAATCAGTTTCATTTTAACTTTTTTTTTTTCAAATTTTTTCAGGCAATAAGGCCAAAGCCCATCACACCATTTCCAACCCACCTGTCATGCACCTTACTGTGTTTCAGGTTGCCTGTCATGTGTCATGCAGGGTTTGTGGTCAGATGTCCAGCATAAATTTCTGTCATGCACCAAACCCAAGAGGTTGTTGGTCATTCTGCTACTGTCATATCCATACCTACTCCATCCAACCTCCAATCTACTCCACTACTGTTCTGGTTCACCTCTGGTTTGTCCTCTCCCTCACCTCCACCATATCCTCCAGTATACTTCAGTCCACCTCCACCTCTGATCTCCAGTACCCCTTATCCTCATCATAGAAGTTTATTAATATTTCTACCTACCCAACATTACTACGGACCTCCTAGGACCTCTGCCAACCCCGCAAACGTTTTCCCATTATCCAATAGCTGTCGCTAATCCCACCCTTTGTCTACCCACTCCACAGTGCTCAATAAGGCAATTCTCTCATGAGCTCACCACCCTGGCAAGTGGGTAAGTCCATCTTGGGTTTTCCCTCTGTTCTCATTTGTCTTGTATTATGTATATAAGTCATGTACTGTAGTTGATGGCACTTTAGTGCAAAATCAACAACAACTATCCCCCCAGAGTTCATGCCCCCTCGTTCTGAAGTTAAGGACCCAACACTAGCATTACTGAACGTAGGCACAGCACTCCTCCCTGAGTCGCTGAGGCCATGGTCCCTCTGCTTGTCCTCTACCTCCAGCCTCCCTTCCAGGGAAAGGTCCAGACATGCTTGTTCCCTCCTTGCCATGTTCTGACAGCTACAGTATTCAGAATCATAATACTTGAGTGCACATGGCAGGTATGGAAAGCCAGATGCTGCAGAGTGATGAACCCTGGATGGATGGATTCATTTTAGAGTACGTAACCGTGCCTATCGGCATATGCCGTACTATAGTGACTCGGGTGAAAAAAGTTTGGAGAACATAAGGATGTGAAGAAAGGAATTTGTTTGACCTAGGAAGTATGAGACATCAAGTAATCAATGGTGTGAAGGAGAATAAAGTGAGATGAAGCAATAACACATAAAGGGGCATGCGACCCCTGCACTGAGATTGAACAACGGGTGAGGGAGAATGGAGGTGGAAAGACGTTGGATAGAGAAAAGGACACGTGACCCCCAGTGTTGGGGTCGCATGTTTTGCTGCTGTGTGCCTATGGTTAAGTCAATGTTTGAGTGCATGGTTCTTGTGGGTGGGTGAGTTGGAGGGTGCTTTCACAGGTTTATGTCACAGTAGGCTGGTGAATGTTCCAGTGGCAGCGAAAGGCGATGGGTGTTGGTGGCATCTTGCTCATGCTTGTTGAATAAAGGCATGTGGCAGATAGGCCTTTGGTAGAAGGGGTAGTGGAGAGAAATGAAAGTGTTGGGGTGACGGCAGGACTTGAACCTGCATTCCTTGCAGTCAACTTTTTGTTGGCATATGGGGCTATCGTTGGCGCTACCACTATCGCGCCTCGTCACAAAGAGGTAGTGGAGAGAAAGATGAATTGGAAGGGTGTTGGGGTGATGGCAGGACTTGAACCTGCACTCCTCCAGCCTGCCCATGGACTTATGGAGGCTACCATTGGCGCTACCACTATTGCACCTCACCATCCCAAAAGGTAGTGGAGAAGAGAAAAAGAAGGAAGAGTTGGGGTGACGGTGGGACTTGAACCCACAGTCCTCTGGCCAGTCCTGTCTGGGCTTACAGAGGTCACCATTGGCATTGCCACTATCGCGCTCGTCATCCCAAAAGGGTAGTGGTGAGAAGAAAAAGGAAGGGTTGGCTTGACGGCGGGACATGCACCCACACTCTTGCATCTCTCCAGCCAGTGCGGCTCTGGGCTTACGGGGTTGCGGTTGATTGGCATTACCACGGTGGCCACATCATCCTCCCTTCAGATGTTAGAGGCCTAATTAGTTTTAAACAGGGGCACCGTGTGAAGGTTTAGGCCCGTGCCAGGTGTTCGCTGTGGTAGCAGAACTCCCCCTCGACTGACATCCATCGTCGAGGCCCGTGATGAACCCTGATCAGCCATATACCACACTAAGAGAAGTCACCAATGTGCTCAAGGCCAGCCTTAATGAAAAACTCCAGCAGGATACTGTACTCACACAACCAACTACCGGCTTAGTCAGCCACGTGACTTGTCACGTGATATAAACCGGCAACCGGCAACTCGTTGTGACACGTGACACCCAACTGGCAGGGCGCTGCGGAGTTGTCCAAATTATATTACTTATATTAAATTGTTAACCACCTTGAATTTAAAATTTAAACATTTGAAAACACCGCCCCCATAAAATTTCTGAGCATCTGTGCATCATCTCATGAACGGTTTTACCCTTGCACACCGCATTGCTTTGTGTATGGATGAGACTATCTCATATAGCGACATCCTGGGTGATTTTATTGGATCCTACTTTCCAGACGGGAACTTGTCTGTCACTGAATTTATCCAGTTTACACTTCCAGTCCTCCAAACAAATTTACAAGGTTCACATACTCCCTGTGCCTATTCATGAGCAGGAACTTGGCTGTGGAATGCGAGCAAGGCACACAAGAAACTTGGAAGACCAAACGAAAATTTTCCGTTTTTGAATGTAAATACATTCCAGAAATGGAAAATTTGAATTGCCTTGCACAGCCACCTTGCCTCAGCAAAACTGGCGTGACACCCAAACACCCAACTGCCAACCGGCTGTGACGCATGACAGACCCTGAATTTCGACCAGACCGGGAGGTCTCTGTGACACGTGACCGGTAGTTGGTCGTGTGAGTACAGTATAGCATCAACGTGCCAAAAGAGATATGACTGCAAGGCACTTCCAACACAACTTGTGCTACACACCTGAAGTGGTAACCTACAAGAAGAAGAGATGCTCCCAGACAACTGGCTGAATAGCAGTGGGGCTTTAGTGGGTATACCGGACCCCCATGACCGGGGCCAGGAGTCCCACACTCATGTGTGTAATAGCGTTTCCTCACAGTGGCAACTCCGGACCAAACCTATCCTCTTCCCAACGGGTTTTTCAAATTCCCGACACAAGCCCCAAATACAGTGATGTATCGCGAAAGCTACTGGGGTTCCACCAAAAAAAAAAGTAATGTGACAAGTACTTTAGATTAGATAAGATAAATCACATGACCTGACTGGCCATTCATCCAAGTCGGACGCGCCGATTTTTCTTTGGCTTGCTGTCATAGGGTGTTAGGTTTGCTCCCACCCCCAATGGAAGTCTGGTGCCTCGTCATCGATTACGAAAACAGGCCTGTTGGGAAGGCAATCCAGGTCAGAGTGCCTTCCGAGGCCAATGTCGCTAAGTTGAGGGGGGTGGTCAAGGATGAGGCGTCGCCTCTCCTTGACCAGACTGCTGCATTGACGCTCGACGTGTGGAAATGCACAGACATGACAATTAACCTCCTCGATGGGAGCCTTGAAGTGCTTCAGGAGCAAGTCAGCAAGGCATTCTCTAACAGGAGGGTGGAAAGCCTCAGTGTGAGGCAAGGGATAGCGGATTTGATCTTCTCAGATGGAGAGGCACTGCTCGTGAAGTTGCCCGGTGCGTCGTGACTCTTGTCGATGAACTAGATACCTGACTGTGTGACAGGCCCATTGGTACAGATACGGGCCCACGACACTGGGAAGCCACAAACGGAGGACGACAGTGAGCAGTTAGTTCATTCATGTCTTAATTCGTCAGTGATGGCGATGTCCCGCTCAAGAACGGGATATTGCGCTCGCTCGCGCAGCTCTTCCCCCTCGTCTGCCTCAGAAATGCCGACATTCGTGACTGAACAAGTGCGACATCCTATCCTTAACGGCCGCGGTCATGCACTCAGGGGCCCCCCCATTGGTCTTTTCCACTCTGTCTTCAACTCATTTCATGCTGCCTTGAGGAGTTCTGGACCATCACCTGCGGATCCAGAAACATACTCCTTGGTCAAAGACCTTTTCATAGCGTTTGCTCGACTTTACGACACGGAGGACGAACGAATTGCTGTGATCGACGAGTACCTGTTCCCCCTTCTTGGCGAGAGATTTCTGACCGTTATCGCACCTGGGGTCAGGTCTGATGGAGTCATCGTGCAGTCCTGCGGTGGTCACACAGCATACGTGGCTATTCGAGAAATAAAAAATGAAATCGGAACGCCCAGTGCAGACCCTTACACCCAAGGCAGTCTTAGTTATCGCAAATATTGGGCGGGTGAAGATGGTGGGTTGACATTGTGCGTTTACGCTTAAACCTCTTGTTTGCTGATTTATATCGCTACCAGGAGCTGTCATTCGGGCTAGATGCTACTGCCCTGCTATCATTCTTGCGATCGCGGGTCCCTGGTTGTGCGTCAGTGGAGGTGTTTACCTTTTAAGGGCGGTCGTGCAACCTTTAACAGACTATGTCTGGCTTGGGGGTGACCCTTTCGATGAAGGCAGACTGCGATTTGCAGCAAGACTCTTCGTGGCTCTAAGATCAGCCATCAACGATCTCCGCGCATACTACAAACAGCTCGAGTCGCAACTCTCCTCACCACCTTCCCTAACTTTGTATCCCGATGCCTTGCCGTTTGCCCAACAATATGGGCCACAGACATTCACGTATAGGTCACGCATGGCCTGTAATTATCCCTACAAACTACTATACCTGGCGGAGCTCGATGGCCCTCAGCCGCGTCTGGTGGTTGTGAAGTTTGTATCAAAATACTGCGCGCAAGCCCACCGCCTGCTGGCCGCACATAATCTGTCACCAGTCCTGCATTATGCGGGCACGGAAGATACCCAAGCGTCAATGTACGGTGCACGATATATGGTGGTGATGGATTTTGTTGACGCAGAGCCACTGAACACTCTCACCGAACTCCAATTTCAGCAGGTCACAAATGCGATTAGGTTGCTACATTCCCATCACTTCGTATTTGGAGACCTTCGATTGCCGAATATTCTCATCAAGGATGGGAATGCCATGATCGTTGATTTTGATTGGTGCGGTGAGGAAGGGAAAGCATGCTATCCAGAAAGCCTGAACCACCAAGATATTGACTGGGCAGTTGGGGTGTCACCCGGCTCTGTGATAACGAGGGAACATGACTTACACATGCTGGACAACCTGAAGCCTGCTATGCTGGTGGACTAATGTGATGGGCAGATGCTGTTCTCAATTCCTGTAATCTTTTTCATGTTCTTCTGACTGTAATTCTGTAATGCTATTACCACTAGCGATTGCATAGCCCTGAATTGGACAGCAATGGGATAGTGGAAACAGTGTTATGACGGCCGACAACGAGATCATATCTTGGGTCACGGTGGAACCATCACGATCTGGATGAACCGCATCCTGATTCTCGTCATCCCAGGGGTAGTAGCGGTGTCGATGGTTGTCATACCTCCGATTGGGTAGTCGTGCTGCTGATGAAACCTTGTGCGGCCCTTGAGAGATCAAGGATCTATGGATACAATGGGTTCTATTTCGACAGAGCAGACCAGAGATACATGATCAAGCTGCTTGGCAATCGTTAGGTTCGGTTGCATCTACGCTAATAATAAACTCAATAAGCTAAAACTACCTGGTGGCCCCACCAACGAGAAGTCCAATCGTCAAAGGGATTGAATAGATCTGCAATAAATCCGCCAACGTCCTCTCTTGAAATGGAATACATCCCCCACCACCCAGCATTGATTTTTATCTTGTCTTCTTGCACTACTCTGTATCTTCCTCGCCCTTTGGCAGAACCACTCGTGAGCAGAGCTGGCCGTACAACGCACACTTCCGGGGGAAGAAGAAATGGTCGTGGAAGAGAGTTCGAAGCATCGAGTGGAAAGGCGGAGGGGCTGACTTCGGAGGGGAATGGAAAGAATCGGGGTACATATCGTGTAGACCTGAATGCAGTGGAGAGACGAACGAGACACTGAGAGAGCACGACTTCCATGGCAAGCTTGTCTTGAAGCTCCCTGCGGAGAAAGTGCGAGAATATGAGCCGGAGACTTTCGGAGAACAAGAACGTTAGCAGAGAATTCAAGGGTCAGAAACGAAAGGTAAAACTCACAGAACCGGCAGTTGCTGAAAGGCACGCTGGCCAACTCCCATTGAGCTGACGACCACAAGCTTCGGCGCATCGTTTTCGAAATCTAGGTACACATCGTACAGGACGCGCAGGAGGGTTATCAGACCTACGAAAGACTGTTAATTCAGTACCCAGACTCGACAGAGCCAAAAGCAACCTTGACAGCAAATATCGCTAGAAGATTTCGGCATTGGTGATGTGAGATGTGTCCCTATTCCCTCGGCCGAGGGTTCGTGGCCTAATTCACGACTTCAAATGTGAGATGAAAGATAGGAAGGTCCCAAGAAAGCCGGACCTAAGCTGTATACTACGCCATACAAGCCATCCATAGCGCACCAGAGCGCAGTACGAACATCCGCCTCCGACAAAGCGTCACCTTCAATTAAAGTCGTCCTGGCGCGGACATTGGGATCTACCAGCTGCCATTCTTTTGAATTGCAGAATTCATGAATGGAATATAGAAGTAGAACGGCGCAGGCGTCGGAGTTCTGGGCGAGTATTGACCTATAAGCATAAAATCCAACGCCGCGCGAGGCCCCGATGAACACGAATGTGGATCGAGCCACAGGAGACGTAGAACTGTGTCCATCCGTCGCGTGGGTAGATGTTGACATGGCGGCAATCCCGAGGCGAAATCCACCTTTGAGACAAGGTTTAAGTAGTGTGTCATGGCGCAAGTGCGGTGTCCACGCTGCCTCTAAGAGGAATGATGTTCAAGCAATTCAAAGACGGAATGTATTGCCACTCGGGGCCGCTGCCCCTGAAATTAAATTAGAATGAGGCGCCCGTGGGGAGGCCACTCCGAATCTACATAGATCGACTGGAAAGAACAACGTGTACGGAAGGCAGTGCTACAGATTAGTAATCACCTAAGGGCTCCGTTGAGATGGTGGTATACTCTAAAGATAGAATCATCGATGTAAATACAGATCATTGCAGTGCTAGAACAAAGATAGCAAGCGGTGGATAGCATCCATCATGACTTGCTTATCCAACAGATGACTTAGCCCTCATAGCTCCCTCTCTTTCCTTATCCAGGTCTCGGGCCTGAAGAGTGGGACTCACAGGAACGGGCGAGGATGATAGTTGCCGATCAAAATGCCGGCGGTTTGGTGATCGACTTGCTGCATCGCTCAGTACCGCCGAGTTTGCATTCAAGGAGAGGGATCGCAGTGTACCCGAAGGACTAGGCGACGTTGACGATGCTTCCTTCGTAGTTGCGTTCCGGAGACCCGCGGTTCGATTGCTGATAAAACTTCCAATTCCTGTGCCCCAATTGCTTATGGCCGCACGAGCAGCTTGGGCCGTATCTACTAACGTTGGTGTTGACGGTGATGCGAAGGGTTCTTTAGTGTCCAGTGCCGGGGAGCTGGTTCGACGCAAACCGAGCCCAAGAGAGAGGGGACGGAGCCCGCCACCTGATTGCTGAGGGGGGGCAAGTGAATTTGCACTTGAACGACGCTCGATTGGAGGTAAAGAAGGCGAAAGTGCAGGTGAAACAGATGTGCTAGGAATAGTAGCGGCTCTTTGGGCGGAAAATCGAGCAGAGACTTCACTCCGGACACCTTCTACCGCCTTGAAGAAACTAGTCGACCCTGCATTAATTGCTGATGATATCGCTTCCTTTGTCGAGCCTAGATTCTTTTCCAAGTTAAGCTCATGAATCCCTTCGGATATTCTTAATCCAAAATCAGATATCACGCTCGGCTTCGTGTCACAGGGATGCCTGTGGTGAGCAGAACGCTGTCAGCACTCAGAGGCCAAATTTGGCCAGGGTGCCGGATCTGACCTTGGTTCAACAATGTCAAAGATAACGGGGTCGGTAATCCCGTCCCATACTTGGAAAGCATGGGACTTCTGGAATGCCTCCAGCCATCCCTCGCCGAAATTCCGAACCACGTTGGGATCGCCAGCTTAAATGAAATCCCTTAAAAACTCGTGGACATTAGATACCACGGCGAAGGCTTACTGGCACCCGATACCGTGATATTTCCCTTCGCATTTTTCTCCAAGTAATCGGTGTATTTGAGACAGGAGAGTGCAGAACATATGTAATCTTCGAACTGGGGACATCAGCGTGGAGTAACGACGATTCTAAACGACACCAACCTTGATCCGCAGGTAATCATCGCTGCCCTTGAACCTGAATATTGGGTTATTTGGTGAGCAGCATTATGCATTGAGCACTCTCACTGCATTGTCGATGACCGCTGCGGATCTGCCTCATTCCAACCCTCGTTAACGTCTTGCACAATGTCATCCATCCACTTCCTATCTGCAGCTGTCAAGGAAACAAGACGTTCAATCATCGGATTCGCAAAGTCAAAAGAATTTGTTTCAATCTGTGAGGAGCATTTAGGATGTGTGCAGCAAGCAGATAGTGGAGAAATAACCACATTAACTAATAGATCGGGGAAAGTCTCTTTCTGATGTGTCATTATGCTATTTGTCGTCCCTTTTGAATCCATCAGGATATGTGTTGACGAGCAAATAGTATCAGACCCACCACAGAGGAAGGAATCAGTCTTCATCAGGTCTATTTGTTGCAGCGGCAGATAGGGCTGGAAGAACGCATCCTAACCGAGAATGGAGGTAGAATCAGCGCGATACTGAGGCCAACTCGCGACGTCGCACCTTCCCAAAAATTTCCAGAGGCAAACCCAGGAACCTTAGGACACTTTTTCGATCAGAAGACTTAAATTCCATTGCCCGCTCGAGTGTAGCAGCACGGGAGTGAAGAGACGGGCTGCCACAATCTTCCAAAGCAAGTAGCAGGCCGGGAATGAGAGAAACTAATGAGTATTGATAAGTGCATAGACGTTCAACCGGATGTCCAAAAAAAAGTATCTGCCAAACAAATAAATCAAAATTTCCATCCTGATTCAGACTGAATCATCCCATACTTTTCTCTGTATCAAGAGCAACTTGAGTAGCATCAGGGTGCGGTGGCGAAACGTGTGCACAAGTTCCCGTCTCAGCAAACAATATATCAAAATCACTTTATATCTTGATGTCAAGAGGACTCACAAGCTTGTTCCTGTTGTGATTGAATTTCAAAGACCTGAACTTATGGAAAACATACCAAATACGTACCCATGTACACACTACTTTCTGTCAGTTGTTGACGCAAGGAGGACTCCAAACCATCGCAAAATTCCATTAATATCGAGTGATCCCGAAAATCTCGTTGGTTGAAGAAGGCTCTCGTTATTACCCCCAGTTTATCTCTGATCATACCGAAGAGGGGCTTGCTGGCGAGCACAACCACAGCTTTCTGCACAGTGGAACGCGTCACATCAGCTTCTTTGCATAACAAGGTCGATGTTGCAATCTGCCGGTTGCACCTAACATTCCGTAAGCTGGAGATTGGCGTGTGGCATGATGACATCTTACGAGATGGCAAATATGGTACAGGCGGGCGCTGGAGGGGCCGGCTGCGATGGGAAAACGGTTTGCTTCGTCGGGACTACATGAAAGTACGAATAATCCTCCTCGTTCTGCCAACGTAAGTGTCACCCTTAGGGTTCCCGGTGAAGAGTTACTCACAAGGTGTGCGCCATCAGGTAATGCTAGAAAGGGCAGGATTTTGCAGAGTTCCTCATCCTCAAGGATTGACTGTGGATAGGCTATTTCAATCGTCGGCCCAACCTGTTTAGTGCAAATCGAATGAGCCCCGGTGCGTTATGAAGAGGACGTCATTACGAGATGGTTAAAATCGACAACCGCAAGCCCTATAATCAGTTTCGGTACTTTGGGATCGATAATTAAAGATTCGGGACGAAGCTTCTTGGCGATGGACGAGGTAGAAGTAGATGAGAGGGTCGATTCACTAGTCGATGCGCGTGTAGTGGACCTAGTCAAAAATCCAAAAGACTTCGGGGAAGTTGATGGCGACGCGTTGAAAGCAGCGGGTGGAGGACTTGGGTCATGACTAGTACCCAGAGCTCCAATGGACTGCTGACGCAACTTTACTCGGCCATTGGACGCAGATGATTCAATGGAAGTTGGTCCAGCAGGGAGCGACTTCAACTGGAAGTCGGAATTGCTCGTCAAGCCAGACGAAGGCGAGCCGATTTGGCCGCGGGCAGTGTCGGAGGGTGGGAGAGCTGGGTGGGATGAAGAAGGGGACAACGGAATATCAACCGACTGTTGTGAAACTGTTTCGTTATCACTTGTGCTGAAATTATCGTCATCCATAGGTTGCTGTAAAGACGCGGATAGGTTCCTTAAGGATTCAGCAACGGAGAGTGGGTGGGTTAGGCTATCGAAGATGTCTGGGTTCTCCACATCTTTGCTGGGGAACGTGAGCCTCTCCATTGGGACGGCTGGAGAATGGCTTCGCTTCCCGATAGGGACCGGAGGCAACCGATGCTCAAAGTGGAATTATCGTCATATTGAATTTGACAACGAAAATCCTGTTCTGACAGTGTACGAATTACAGTTTACAAGCGGTGTATAAACATAGCAGCATTAACTTTAGTGGTGATGTGGAACCCAGAAAGAACGAAGAGAGTCAAGAAAAAGTGATTTTATGTCTCCTGTTTCACCTGCGACACCATACTTTCCCTTAGAAGCTTTGCGAGCGTCCTTAAGTTTTGCCGCAAGGAGAAGTTATCCGAGGGGGGCTGCGGCGGGGCAGACCTGACATTTTCCGAGGCTGACGTTCGCCGTTCGTCCTCGCGATGTGTATCCGTATCATCTTGATCTTCCTCTTTAGAAATAGGGCGCACTTGGCTGGTAGGGATTCTGCTGGAGGCTACCGTAGCCGCTGTCCGCGATAGGGGCTGATAGGGGTTGTTTCCGGGTTGTGGTTGTGATGGGGGACCATAAGGGAATGGTAAAGATGTTGGTAGATTCCATAGTGAAGTGTTGTTCGCTGACGATGACTGTGAGGGGTTTGATGCAGCAGTGTCTTCATCCATTCTTTGCGGGCGGCGATTTGTACGTTTCGATGTCTGGGCCGAAGCTGTCAGAAATTTGTGAAATAGGCGTTAGCGCAGACTCACACTGCCTCCAGACCACCCAGGATTGAGTCGATAGTTAGTACCAACTTTCTGAAGGCGGCCTCTTTTAAATGCCTTCTGCAAAGCTTGGGAGGCGGAAGGTCGGAAGTTAGTCATCAATGGCCAGTGGCTGGAAGGCAACTTTAGCTTGCGTCGGAGTGGTCAGAAGAGAATTACACGATGCACCTGCTCATATAGTCAAATACAACTTTTGGCTGGACTCCTTGAGGGTCAGATATCTCGGTAAGAGCTTGCACAATCATTTCCTCATAAGATGGAATAGAGCCTGTGCCTGGGCCGTTGGGAGGGCGTCCTGTCGCATTGCGAGCAGTCCTTGCTGGGGGCATCGGAGCTCCATAAGGCATCATCATGTAGCCAGCGGTTGGGTAGGCTAACCCAGGGTGGGGCGTCATATGACCCGCGTGAGGAGGAAGTGCCCCAGGTGGAATTTGAGGGAGATGAGCTAGCGGTGGAATGGAGGCATTAGGTGTTTGCGACAGATGGGGTAGTAGGGGAATGGGTGAATGAGCAATATTGGGGGGTGAAGTCCCTTCAGGAATACTTTTTTGAGCAGCTTCCTTTCGGGCGGCTATTTCTCGTAAGGTTTTGACGGCACCCGGTAGATCGACCGGCCAAATCGTGGCATTACGGTCGCGATCCAGCGACAAAACCAAGCCCACGAGGATGTCGCGCGGTAACAGTTGGAGATAAGTCTCCTTGATATTGGCAGAGACACCGTTCTTTGTGGCTTCCGGCGAAGAGCCCTACCAATAAATCGGAGAAATGAGAATTGGTGACTCTGAAGTGGATACCACACAACTTGACCACGCTGTTTCATATCAGCTGTTCGCCTCCCTCGCTTCCAGCGAGGCTGGCGTCTGCTTGTGTCTCAAGATGATTAGAGGTGACGTCTCGAGATTCGAGATTGACGCTGAGCACGTGGATATCAGAAACCGGCCAATCCCGATGGCTAACACAGCTGTCGCCAACTTTCAGTCTCTATATCGTTCAGGGGAATTCGGGAATCTGCCCATATGTCTCTACCTGTGGTTCTGGAGAGAACAAAGGAATTTGGGCACAGAACGATACATTCCTGTCTACATTGAATCTCTCGTAAATACGTAGGATCCTTTCAACTCCGTCGTTGGCGTGGAGCACGAGCCGGGCTCCGCGTTTCCACAGGCTTCCCACTTTTGCGTCCAGTCCATGAGGGTCTCCGAAATTCATTTCAGCTTGCTGAGGGATCTGCCGGGTTTGTCTGCTCGTGCGGTTGGATTGATCTGGACGTGAAATTCACCACCAATGCAGCGATATCGGGACGACTCATGGCCCACTTGGTGTATTCACTGTCGGAGTGCAGCCCATCGAACAATGGCTCGGAGAGAAGCATATCGACGTGTCGGTAGCGTTGGGGAACATCATGTGGTGCGCTTGCAACATTTGCTTGATACGCATTCTCAACCATTTCTTTTTGTTCCTTCGACCATTTATCTATAGTTTTTGCTGATACTCTTTGCTGGAAAATTTCGTGTAGGTGATTCAGCACGTCTTCGACCTGCGTTTGACATCCTCATTAGCGGCAAACTTTCATTTTCGAAGCAATTCCAAAGACGCTTACTGTAACTCCATCATGATTTTCAACCCTGATGGGCTTGCTCATCTTCTCCGACAACAATGTCAGCTTCTGCACACCAGGATAAGTAGCCAAGTCCTTTAAGGTTTCGTCATCCCACTGCCTGCGATCTTTCTTCCGGAGCAGCGCATCACTCCTTGGCTGAGAGAAGTCCACGATAATGGGATCGTCCCCTCCTCTGACTAGCCTTGGATGAATATTTAAATGTGCACCCAGCGAGTAGAGCACCTCTGAACCATACTCTACATAGCAGGGCTTGTGAGACGAGCCTTTCTTCCACTTCTCCATAGCTGGTGTCTTGGAGCTGATTTCGCTCTGTTTGATACTAGAGTTGGGTGTGGGTGGCGTCACGAATATAATTGTGGACAATTGAGCTATTGGTGGGTATAGATTGGGAGGTTGCTCGATGTCCGGAGCAGCCTGTGGGAAAAAGGGACAGTTGGAACAATCGGTGGATGAGGTGTGCGGTTCCTGTTGGGCTCCCTCATTGTTTTGAGGAGCGGACCTTGGATCCTTTAGTAAATTTGGTAACGGAGTCAAAGTGTGTACGTTTGTTGCGTGCTTGATGGTGGTGTCATCGATGCGTTCAACGGCCTTGTCATCTCCCCTGGCAGTGGGTTGAATAGGCGGAGGAACAAAAGTCGTTCTGTATCTTGTCTGCGAAGGAGTGTATTTGCCATAACAGGGTTGACGCTCGTCATTGATGTGAGCATCGACTTGATCATCATCAGTTTCCCCCCCACGCTGTGGCCTTGGTCTGCGCCCTAGTTTCATCTCTGTTTTCTGTCGCTCGGAAGACACCGCATTACTTGCTTGATCCCTACTGGGGGCTAGTCCTGGCAGATCATGCAGCAACGAATCACCCTTGATCTCCCCCTTTCTCGTTTGCCTTTGTCTCATTTCGAAAGGAACAGCAAACGGACCATGGCGGACGCGCGACTGAACGAACTCCCTCACAAGTCCTGATACCACCGTTCGTGCGGCCGCTTCCTCAGCCGCAAATGAAAACATTGACGTCCCCAACTTTTGGTAATGGTCTTGGGCTTTTCTTCTTACGTCCATTTCTACAAGCCCCGTGTGGTTTCCAAAGGGATCACCCGGGTTAGGCGATCCTGTGGTCAAGTCTTGGGTGGAAGGGAGTAAGTCTTTCATCTTGCGTGTATATCGCCGCAAAACATTGTCAACAAACTGCGCTTCTGACCAAAGGGAAAGTCGCTTCTCCGCCGCCCTCGCCTTGCGATACTCATCTCTGGCTTTGTCGGTTGCTTCGGCATAAGCCCTCTGGCGAGTACACAGCTCGTCGTGCATATTCTTCCTGGATACCCATCCGTCGCTTTCGTACTCTGACTCGGAGCTTGGGCTCAACATTGTGTCAGATGTTGAGATAGACGCGATGAAACTTGTTCTAGAGTATGGAATGGCAGGATTGGGGGTCGATTGCTGTGACTATGCTTCGTGTCCATCCCATGCCTTAAAAGTACTCGCAGTAATCAATATCAACGTAGAAGCTGCGCGGGTGCGAACGCCATATAAGGGGAACGATGACAGTGCCCAAAGCTCGCGTACTGCCACTGGTGAATCCATTTAGTGTATCTTCATCCTGGGAATTTCCGACTCCCGTTTCCAGGCTTCTGAGACGTTCTGCAACCTAACTAGGATCTTTCAGCGCAGTGCGTAAAACGTCAGTCTTCCGTGCTTACAGTTACGAAGATCAGGTATTGACCTATTAGTCTTCTGTACGGCAGACGAGTCAAGCCTCAGCTCAGTCTGCAAGAGCTGGAAGAGCGTTCTTGCCCCTATCATCTTTAAGCATGCTCAAATATATGGGTCTGCGGTGCAGGTGTCTCGTTCAGGGGGCTCGGCCGATTGAATAACATGTTGCATGGTGTTCAGTGATTTATCAAATCAGCCGCGGTCAACACACATTGGATAATCCTTTGTGGCTAGAAGAGCCACTGCGCTGCCTTGATTTTGCTTGTGCCCTAAAGAAGAAGCAATATCAACAGGGTGGGAAAGTTTAAGATCCCACGAATTGTGGGTGGAACGACCTTGCAAGCAAGGTAACTAGCTGCGGGATAGCCCAGCTGGGAATCCATCCCCGCAGCTTCCTGATTGTTTTGCTATCTTTTACCGTTGGGTTGTGTATTATGAGCGGAGAACTGGGTGACAAAATATGTCCAGCGCAAATCAATTTCTCCGGACAACTGTTTCGGCAGCTTTGCTATGCATGAAATAGATATAGTTATGGAGAGATGTCCCTTGATCCGTTAGAGTCGACATTCAGCACATGTCATCCCTCTCGCTTATTCCTACTGTATCACAAGCAGCCCCTGATCCTGAAACACACGCGCACCTCAGTAGTGTACTTACGCGTGACATAAGCAACACAAACCCTGCTGGGACTAAATCCCGTCGGGTACAACAAAGAGAGCACCCTCGATCACGATCTGGAGGCCAGAACGAATTCCGCACTACCACATTTCATTACTTTGGTAGCCGTCGTTGTGGTCGGTCCATGTTCCCAGGGAAGCAGAACTCTGGGGACTGGACGATCTCGTTGCTGTAGAATTGTAAGCTAAAGACGTCGGAGATCCGAAAGGCTTATTGTCCAATGTACCTCCCTTCACAACGTGCTCTGAAAAGGGCGAGTAGAGATATGATCTTGATAACTGCCACGACGCAATACTCTCGGATTGGCACACCCGCATAATGATGTCTAGCCCCTTAGATGGGGAAGGGTTGTGACTGACAGAGGCTCAAATATATTTCTATATCCGGTTATTGAACTGAACGAGCGGGAAGTGAGCGAGGATCAACAATATGTGCATGCGGGCTCTGATAGATAAACAGATACTGTAATGCCTTTGTTAACTCTCCCGTCGACATTGTCGCACCCCGTTTCATGTCGATCGTTGCCTCACAACTCGGTAACTTCCACCTTCGGATATCGACCTCAGATTTGCAGTCCAACAACAAGTACTGTTTGAAAGCCGATCTAGCACCTAAATTCTCCAGGTGTGTGTGTCTCCTGGCAGCGTCAGGAACGGAACAACGTGACTCGTAGCTTGCCGTGGGAGTTTGACAGGAGACGCCGAAAGATCGCGAGAGTACTGGTGCCATTCACAATTTTACTGCGACGAGTTTGTGCATCTGAAATAGGCAGGACTCCAGCCTCTATGACTTCGTAACAATATACCTCCTGAAAGCGTCTTCGAGCTGATTGTGGCACTCAAATGTTCTTGGCGTTGCTCGTCGTAAATCACTCGTCGCTGTGCAACCGCAGCCATGGAAGGCATAAAAGCCGAGTTGTGGGTGCATTATGCTTCTGGATCCTTCCTTCTTGTCCCTCCCAAGGCTGGCTTTGGGCTGCGATTGCACTTTCTATCTTTGATTCGTTCTTCACCTTGGCTGTGATTCGGGCAATCCATCCCTATTTCTTCCTTCATCCCCTGTTCACCTAGAGAACAATCGGTTGTCACTTCGCTATCTGAATGCCGTTCTTCTCCAAATTGCTGCTCCTGGCGAGCATCTTCCCTTTCTATGCATTCTGCACAGAAGCCCACCCCGGAAAACCAATGCGCAACAGGATGATCCATTTGCCTCTTGCTCCAGCTCACAATATGGCACGCACCGATGTTCACCCGCTAGAGGTCAGTCACACAGCTCACCACTACTCTATCTGTCGGGCTGAAGGTCCTATTTCGCAGCTGTATAGCCACCACTGGAACCGGTACAAGTGACGACTCCCTGCGTCACGGATTGTGGTTAGCTAATACGTACCCTAACTTTATCAGCGCACAACGTCGCCACGCACGCATGACCGGTGGGGATGGAATGGCCTTGGAAGAAAAACGGCTGTATATCCCACCCCGCCCTTCCAAGATCAGTGTGAACACGCGTAGCTTACGAGTGCATCGTGGAGGCAATTTGCCTAAGTTTGCAAAAAAGACCAACCAGATCTTGAAATCCCCCTGGTGGTGGCCCATGCAAAGAACAAAACTGATGATGATGATATCGGGCGCGCTCGAAAGGGCAAAAAAGGTGCACACAGACATGGCGGCGCATGCCCTGGAGGTAAGTTTGGTACATTTTCCCCGTTTCCTTCTTCTAAATGGATCGGTAGGCAAGGCTGTTGCAAATAGCACTCACATTAAACACAAAATGAAATTTGCAAATTGCACGGGCACTACCATAGGGAAAAACGAAGGTCAGCAACGTCGACTTCCCAAGGCTTCGAAGGCCCATGAATTTTGTGCAGGCAATGCCACTGGTTTTCCACAAGGCAACTTGGCCGCTGCGCAAGATGGTGGACTCACGAAGTCGCATGTCGTCACGTCGAACGGGACGACTGGCTTGGACATCATCGCAAACGATGTCGGGTATGTCTCGACTATTCAGATCGGCACGGTATGCTTGGATACGTCCTTCGTCCGAATCTTCCTGATTGTTTCCTTCTGCCTTAGCCTCCCAAGGATTTTAGGGTTCTCATGGACAGGTAGTGCCTGCCGTTTCGTTGCCTGTTGTGGATACTGACGTTGTAATCGGTAGTGGGAGTGCAGATACGTGGGTTGGAGCAACGAACTGCAAGAATGATCAATCTGGGCAACCATGCAGCGCCAAACATGTAACATTGGGGACAAGGACGAGTTCTTCCCTCGCAAACACGGGAAAGACATTCCAGGTGACTTACGGTAGGCGTCAGTGGCTGGGTTTGATAGCTCGTAATCACATGCGTGCTACTTAGGGGCAGGCGCCGTTGCCGGCCTCATCATTACCGACAACATTGTCTTTGCAGGACTTCCACTCGACAATCACACTTTTGGCGTATCCACAATCGAGACTGTGGAATTCTCTGCGGATAACATTCCCTTCGATGGCTTAGTCGGTCTCGCCCAATCTACGTTATCAAACCAACGTGTCTTGACTCCAGTTGAGTCCCTCGCCGAACAAGGCTCCATTTCGGCTGCCATCGCCAGTTTCAAAATTCCACGACTTGCAGATCAGAAGAACGATGGTCAAGTAACATTTGGTGGTCTTCCGCAGGGGTTGTTCGATCCCACGACACTCGTCACAGTCAATAATGTTAATCAACGAGGATTCTGGGAGTCTGCAGTAGATGCCTTCACCGTTAATGGCCAGGACACTGGTTTGAGCGAACGAACCGCAATCATGGACACGGTAAGTCCTTCGATCTTACGTCTCATAAATTCCCACCGCTGACATGCCTCTTGTCAGGGTACTACTCTTATTATTGCACCTGCAGCTGATGCGGCGGCGATTCATGCAGTGATTCCGGGTGCCCAGAAAGCTGATCAACTCGGCCAGGGCCTGTTCACTCTTCCCTGCACTACAAACGTCTCCGTTGCTTTGACATTAGGGGGTCTTCCTTCACCATCGACCCTCGCGATCTGCTCTTCGCGCCAGTAAATCAAAATGACTTAACGGGCGATTGCGTGTCAGGCATTTCAGCTGGGACTGTAGGTGGCTCGCAGGAGTGGTTAGTTGGTGACGTGTTCCTAAAGAACGTCATGTTCTCAACGGATGTTGGGAAGAACACGCTGTCGTTTGCAAAGCTTGTTTGAGGGTAATTTAATCGTGCTCACGCTATTCTTACATGAACCGATTAGACGGTGCAACTGCATATGTACATGTATTACAGCAATGGAAAATTGAATTTGTCAATCTGCTCGTTCAAAACAGTGGCCGCAGGAAAATATTGTTCTGATACCCATCCAATTTCATACCATATAAAGCCATTCTCTTCTCCATCGTCGATATGGTGACTGCGGAGTATTGATAACCGATACTGAGCAGCACAACCGCGCGAGTCTGGTGCTGGCGTCGCATAAGGTGAGAATACTTGGACGATTGATTCTAACTCCGCACGATGTGTGTGGCGGATAGGAGCAACAAGGTGAAAAAGAGGATTATTAACGGATTGAGATGTAGTTGTGGCATCGTGTCCAGGATACCTGAGCAGGGATTGCACAGTCGCTTTCAACCACTCTGCATGTTGGAGTTCGTAGACAACATCCGCAGCGAGTACGAGATCGAACGAATGCGCCCGCATCTTTTCCCCTTCAGGATCGGTTACCCCACGGAAATCTTCTTTCGTGTTTCCATCGCGACCCATCCGTAGCTGGTAGTATTGTTCCCAATCTAGTGAACAAGCTTTGAGAGACACGCATCCATTGAGTGATTCGTTGCGGCGTATGTTGTCACGAAGATTAGACAGAACGGCTCGATCGTAATCCGTTGCAAAAATTTCAACGGCGATTCCATTGATCGAAGAACGTGCCTGGCGATCGCAGATCAATGAAGCAATCTTCGCGACAGCAAGGCTGACTAGTCCCGTCCCAGCGCCGAGCTCCAGAATCCTAAGGGGTCGCTGATGGAAACGATTCGGGAAAGACGGTGGATTGCAGAGAGGTATGAATACATTGGGGTCCTCTGCTATACGCTTGGCAAGCATCATGGCGCTCCCCCATGTCTGCATCCCCACAGCTCCAGGGAGGTCATGCGAGTTAATAGAGCCATCATTAATACTGATTTCAATCGGCGGCGACGACGGCGAAAGTGTGGTTCCATCCTTGCTTAGCTTTTCGCCGAGAGTCATCGTGAAAGTCTGGAGGGCAGACGATAAGGCGGAAGACCCAGAAGATATCATTAGGAGATCCGCAGCACGGCTTAGGAGAGACTCTGTTCTCTCGTTTGATCTGTCTTCAGTTGCAGGTCGATTCGCACCATCAACGCAAATCACCCGAAGAAGATTCGTGAGCCATTGGATAGCATACGTTCGCTCAAAATCGTCCATGGATGTTTCTAGAACTGATGAGTGCATCATCATGTGGCAAAGATGATCAACGTACCGTCCACAGAGGACAGCCGCTTCGTTCCCTTCCTCATACATTTATCAAGCTGATCCAGAGCAATCTCGAGGGCATCAGATTCAAATTTGTCCCGTCGAATCTGTGGAAGAAACTTCGAAGGTATTCTGGGTATCGCACCAAGAACATGTTGTGAATGGTCCTCGTCTGACTAGACGCTTGATTATAACGCACGGCGCCATGTCCCCCATCCACTTAGTAGTAACACGCTTGAGCGTCTAGCACGTCAGCTTCTGACGTCATGTCGGAGAGGCATTTGAGCTCACACGTAAAGGACTTATGTAAGACGCGAATCCAGCGTCTAGCAGTGAGGCTTGTGACTTATGAGCTGGGCGCCAAGCTTCTGCCGACGCACGCTCAAAAGCACGTGAGAGTCGGAGCGCGTCACTTGCACCGTTGTTATCATTTCGATGTTGAATGCAAAAAATCCTCCCGACACCGTTGACTTGTGCTTTAGGATGTCTTCTCTGCACAGTCTCAGTCCTTCCAGTTGGGCCATCATCCCTACTGGTTACATCATCCCAAGAGGTTACCATCATCCCTATGTTTCCAATGCTCTCCCCGCGCACGAGCACTCCCAAGGTGGTAATCCATATTTTAGATGGCTCAAAGTCCTAAAGTTTCTGTCGGTTCCACAAACCCTTCCTCCCGTGGCAAAGCGAGCAAATTTGGATCTAGACCTGTTTTTCGATGCCCAAGTGGAGGACTAGAGTTCGGATCGTACCTGGTATTCAAATTTTCGCATTCCTTGCCGCTCTCAAGGCGTCTTCAATTACAAGACATTGTTCGGGTGAATGGAACTTCCTGTGGGCCTCGAGAAAGATATCAGGTGCAGGCTTTCCTTTCCCGACCCCTGCGTCATCCCGGCATGTTACGGAATTGAATAACCCGAATAAATCTGAGTGCGCTCGAGTCTTGATCACGAACTTCGAACGGGACGAGGATGTTGCTACCGCCATGGGGATCTTGTGTTCATGCAGGTGGCGTGTCAAGCGCTGGTTTCGACATTGTCATTACTTTTATCTAGGATACATCCCGTGGGCCCGGCTGATCTCACTCACCTCCACCCCCGCAACACCTTTGTAGTGGCGAAGAGTTCAGTCAGTATTACCGTGTTCTCCTTCATGAAGTTATCAATGGGCATCTGTGTGCCGGTTGAATATCCGTGCGGACTAATTAAGTATTGACATGAGTAGCTAGATCGGCACAAGGTCAATCGCCCGGCGTGCCTCTTGTGCTTCCCTTCCCACCGGCTTACTCTTGAGCTCCCATGTAAAGGTCGTGCCTGGGCATGTCTATCAAGAAACACTTGAGTGGCTTCGGTGTAGATCCTCTCTGTATCGAGGAGCAGCCCATCCTGCAGTGCATTAAAGGACCGGACCGCAAAGAAAGGGCAGCGGCACCACGTCAAATGCAGCACCAGCAATCCAAGTTGTATAAATTTAACTGTGGCGGTTCTCCTCCACAGTGGCGAGCCACATCTTGTGGGTGTCGTCCCTTGTACTCGCACTTGAAACCCACTCCCTTCCTGGGGCCCATCATTGCTAACACACTCTACCCCATTTACCATCGTCAGTGATTCATGTCTGCCGAGAATCATAGAAATTATCAATGACTACTTACAGCAACAACTCATAACACTCTCCTTCCCCGGGGACGGCCTCCATCGCCACCCCCCAACATACTGTCAGGTTCCTGAACAGAGGACTGGGATTGTATGGTTGTGATTATCGAGTGATTATTTCTATTTGGGCTGATGCAATATTTTTTATCGTTAGCTTGACCTATATACTCACGCGCCGTTACAAAGATTTTGGTTCTCCCTCAGTTCCCATATCTGCGGCTGTGTGCGTGTCTGAATTTCTAATAGTTTGAGTTTGGGATATCGCAGCGCTATGCGACAGCTTGAAAGAGTTGCTTCCCGAAGCAGTGGCACCAGCTGGATTCAATCCACATGGCCATACCCGGCGGGCCTGACTGGTTCTGATTCCCGGGAAAGGCACCGCTTCTGATTCTTCTCTGCTTGAAGGAGCGCCAATAGGAAAGGTTTCCACCATTGTTCCCGAACGTGGGACCGCTTGGAAACAAAATGGCTAGTTTCTGCGATCTGATGCTCCGCTCCTGGGCCCTCCATATTTAGTGATGTCCCCGCGGATATAAATTCCAACTGGCACCGAGATGACGGCATAGTCTGCTTGCTACTTGATATGTTGAAAAGCACTCAAATATTTTACCCTTTGCCGGCGTTTCCACCGCAAGTACAGCCTCTCCAAACATCAGCGTTGGATTATCGTGTCCCTACAGGAAAAACTACTTACGAATCAACGGTCGGACCCGTGAAACCGAATGGGGAAAGATATGTCTCATTCATGTCGCAAGTGGTTGCGCGGTCAGGTCAGTGTCTTGCTGCCAAATTGACCGCAATGGCGTTCCGGTGCTCCCAGCCCCCGTCACAGGTGGCTGGTTCACTAGCTCTTGCGGCCAGGCCGAAAGCTGGCTTCTGGGATCGCCGGCCTGAGTCCATCACTGCCTTACTTCCTTCTACCTGCTCCCGTTCCCGCAAAACGACCAAAGCCTGTGCATGCTGATGGCGCACAAGAAGGCGTCCTCATAGACTATGTTAGAGTACGATGAGATTGTAACGTCTGCTCAGGTTGCTGATCAGACCGCTCGAGGTGACTGTGTTGCGCTCTGTCGGATGAGGCCTGGGCAACGCCCACTATCCATTATACATAGTATGCAGTTTGGCAATATACCAAACTCGGTATTAGTGAGAACAAAAGTTAAATTGTTTTACTCCATCCGGCAGGCCAGCTGCATCATGGTCATCTGTCATGGGTCCCCCTCTCAGGGGTACCTATCAATTGAGGAAGTGTGCTTCGTGAATCCAGAGATACTCTCCACGTATGATAGGGAGCCACCATGACCTGCCTCCCTTAATGCCGTCCACCCATATCCCCCAGTTTTATGACTTTTCGCCTGGGAATAAGGCCGGTCGGGACCATCAACGAGTTGGTGTTTTCGCGCAAAGGCAAAAAGGAATATCGGACCGGTGTCAATGGGGGCGGCTAAATTCGTCTCCAGCGGTCATACATCAGACAAAAGTAATATGGAAAGTACTGCTACACGTGGAACGTTGTAGCAGTATAAGTAATACTATGTCACATGGTTTAGTTGACCGCTATCTTCTGGCACACAAACACCCGTATTATTATAGCTTTGTATGTCTGTGTACAATTATAAATTTATAGAGGATATTTTGCACCAGTAATATAATTAATTATTAGGCTTGAAACTGCGTGCTCGGGAATCCGCATCGGGGAGTTGATCACTTCTCCTGACCCCTCGCCATTTCAGCGGTATCTGATCACTGAGTCCAGCAATCTCCTCAAAACTTTGCGAGACATCTGCCGTGTATTTCTACTACAATACCCTTTAATACTATTCTGAACTAAATGTCTTGTAGTCCGACTTTGTAGTTGACGACCTTCAGGTGGTGTCAACTAAAACAAGTAGGACTAGGCGTGTGAATCATAACATGAGCGAACAATAACATTCTCGAAATGATATCACCTCAGTCTCGAGTAAGAGAGCTGAGGGAGAAGGGAAAATTGTGGTGCACAGCGTATCTTATACGACCATCGTTTGTAGCGACAGCCTGCTATAGAACAAACATCAAGACGACAGCAATTGGTATCGGCGGTATCTTGTAATCGATATCGCGTTTTGTGAAACTCGTTAGGAATAAGCGTCGTTAGCCCGATGATTTCTAACAAACAATAACAAATTTAATGTGTAGAATGTCTCGTATCTTATGCCCGCAGACACTCGTGAATGATCATTGATATTCCAATAATCAACTCACCCTGAACGGCGATGCCCACTCAGGCAGTCCGACAGCACTCTCAACGTCAACGATGGGTAGTTCTGGGACTGGATGCAGCTGATGGAATACCGTACATGTAATCACAGATTAAGTCCGGTGAGCATCAAACTGGAGCCGTGAGTGCTTGTGTTTGACATATTAAACACTGTACAAGCTCAAGCGACACGCAGCGAGCACTACAGTAGTACTCTAGTGATTACATGACAGGGAAATAAATAAGGCGCGGCGCATCCATGATAAGGCCGTGATTATTTGTATTGCATCGCTTATCAGAATGCAAACTGACAAGAAGATGACCGAGCCGACGTCGAGCTTAATCTCGCCACGGACTTCCTAGATGGGAGCACTTTGTGGCACTTTCAACGGTTTTAGTGATGCTGGATGCGTGGATGCGCTAGATGTTGGGAGAAAAGTGTGTGGTATTGCCAGTTGGCATTACGTGTCACACGGTCAAATACCTTTACATAATCGGGAAGTCCAAGTCACACGAACGCCTCTGGTGGTACGAGTAACCCGTGCTACGTTTCGGCGTGGCGTCAGGTGCAGGAAATGTGTAGCATAGGACAATTGAGTCGTGGAGCAAAAATGGTAGGACACACTTTAGGAGCTGGTCTTTCCGGTTGTCATATTGCCTGAGGCGCACCCTTTGGTAAGTGAGACAATGATTTACTCGGATCATCTTGGATCCTGGGACGCACCAGTATGACGGTTGCAATTACGATGCCTTTAGCTTGGTGGGATAACATATGAGGAACGACTACGTCCAACATGCACTTCCCCGGGTTTCAGTTGACCCAGCATGCCGTTAGGAGAGGCAGTGGGACCGGCGACTTACATTGGGGGCATGTAGCAAGCGATCTGCATTGGAGAAAAAACAACAGCATGTACCGTCAGAGACTGTGTGTAAGATTCCAGGATACTTGGAGGTGGAGCTCAGAATAAGTCACGGGCACATCTGTCCTCCAACAGAAAGCTTCAGATGAAGTGAGAAACAAGTTCGATTTGCAACATGGTAAGGCGATGACACCATTCACAGCTGACCAAGCTATTCGGGTAGCTTTTACTGTCAGAGCTCTCAAATCAAAGGTTACGGTAAAAATGGAACGGCATGGACGATTCCTTGAGTAAGAATTACTTCAATAGGTCGCACTCACAGGGAAGGGATGAACACTTGACTGGATGGCTATCAAAAATAGATTGGATTTTCCTCAAGGGACGTCAGAAGTGGGGGAAGTATAGACCCGGCTGTCCTTCATTTCTATGTCCGCTGAGAACTATTGGGGAAAAACGAGCTGAGAGTCCTGGGAAACCGAATGCCCTTCAGGGAATACCAAGAGCGCAAATTGCGACTTGCTGGAGCAACAACCCTACTCTTCTACAATATGTATCCTGTAGTGCAGCTGATGGTGCAAGACGCGGATCATGCTACGTGGAAAATTTTGCTCGTCCGTCAAACGATTTTCCTGCAACTAGACTGTTGCAGCCTCCCTCAAAGAATGAGTCCAGAACCCTCGGCCCTCAAGATGACGGCCCTGGACCGCATCGGTTGCACGTTCGGCTCCGACAGAAAGTCTGAGCCTTGAACGTTCGTGCTGGTCACGATGGCTGGACGGCGAATGGAAAGAATAAGCTGCTGGATATGCCGGCAATGCCGTAATTGCATCCCTCAGCTGAGCGGTGCTTGGCACCTGTATGCCCCTTACAAAGCTCCGTGTGTGACGACGGAGGAAAGGCATTTTGGGGTTGTGAGGGAGATCAGGACAGCTGACCTGAGGTACGACAAGGCGCTGATCCATTGTAAGGTCGGCAATATTAGCCGCTTCCGGGCGTCTCCCTCTTCGCCCAGGTCATGAGTTCTAACCAAGAAACTGCTGATTAATTACCCCTAGTTATGCAAATTGAAATGCCGCTAGCGGTGAACAACGGGAGTGGGTTGCTCTCCTGGACGCCACTTTGGTTGGTATAGAAGTTGGGCAGTTCCTCTGGCGCTTGAAGATGACTAGAATGAATGGAAGGGAATTTAGGCGACTGAATGCGTCGTGGCTGTGCTGAAGTCAAACCCTTTCTCCGGCCAACGTTGATCTGTGGATTAGAATCCTTCCGGATGCCCGGCGTGATGGATACCATCTGTGCCTTCTGAAGATCCCCATTTACCCTGGGATGGTGGGGCATCGCGCGTCCTCAAAGTTACGAAATTTTGGGGTCAGATGATGCACCTCGACCTGTCTTTTTGTATATAAGACTGGCTCAAGCTGCCCCATCTTTGACCCCCGCTCTCACTTGTTTACTCCTCACTTGTGTATCGCCAAAAATACGTTATATCGAATGCTGAGAGCAATGATGACACACTCTCATGCGCCGGGCGCCACGCTCTTTCCTGCGGACGTCCTCGATGCTATTGCTTGTGCAGTTTACAACGCAGCCGTCCCAAATCCCACATCGTCCTTGGACCCGCTTTACCCCAATGTATCTGATGCACCGACTTCCTCTCCGTCTACATCACCCACTTCATACTGGTCCGAACCTGTGTCTAGGCAGACCCTCGTCAACTTGTGTTTAGTCAGCAAGGACTTCCGTGATGCTGCAAAGCCATGGTTGTGGCGACGGATCGAGGTCAATGTTCCACGTAACTGGTTGCGTATGCTAGATGAGATATGTGGAGAGGCTGAAGTACCTGTTCCGCAGAACATTTCTGCCGTTCTCGCAGCCCCTTCCCATTTTTTCCCTCCTCCTCTGCCTCTTACACCGCCCCTATCGCCCTCATCATCCCCGCTTACATCTGTCCCGGAAGTTGGCTTCGCATCTGTCAGCCGGGAACTGGTCGAACAGGAGGCGGGATGCATCGCCACTCCTAGCCACAAAACACCTTATGATCTAAACATTGCAAATTCTTCCGGCTACATTCCACTCGATCTACTCTCACCGCCAGCCTCTCGTGATCCCAGTCCGCAAAGGTTGCGGGCTCAGTCTCCTGGAAGATGGCAATTCATTCGGGAAGTGAACCGGAGGATCCACGCTGAGGGTTTATATGGTATGTATGCGTCACTATTACTCACGTTTGACTCGATGATGACGAATTGTGGATTGGCAATTTGTAGTCCCCACGCCCATTGATCCTCGTCCCGGACGATACGTTCACCATCTCGATTTCAATCACTTCCGGACTATTGGTATGAGACGCTTTGTTGGCGAAGGCATTCATAGCCGATTCGTCACGGAGGCACGTTTGGAGCGTTTACTTAAGGTTGTGCTTTTCCTACATTGATCATTTGACATGGCGACTTATGACTGAGCTGGAATAGGAAATGCCTAATTTGCGTGCTTTCGGGGCGACCGAATTCATGGACAGTTCTCTTAGCCCAAGCGTTTTAGCTGAGCTAATATTGAGAGGACTTCCACATAGACGGCCCGTTGGTCGGGGGCGCGGTGCCTCCCGACGTGAAGATAACGAGGAAGAGATGGACGATGTGGAGAGAAGAGGAGAATATAAGGCTTTAGAAGCTTTAGACTTTTGTGGATGCGTCAGCTCTGTCTTTGTTACATCCTTGCAACAATTCGTGGAGGAAGAAGGACTCGGTTTAGACTACGTTTCGGTTCCGTCCCCTAACCGTGCATCTTCCATACCCGCAATTGGACACTTGGATGGGCCCTCGTTAATACCCGTCCCTCTAAAAACATTCCCAGGCCTGAAGCGACTTTGCTTATGTGGCGTTACTTCTGTCCCACCATCCGTTCTCATTGCTTTTGTCACCTCGTTTTCATCCCTTACCCACCTCGATCTTGCTTCGACGCGTTGCACCCCTGCTTTGCTGCAGGCTCTCGCTGCCTCCCCTACCATCCGCTTATATTCCCTTTCGCTTTCGCGTTGCAATCGGCTCACTTCAGAGTCGATCGCAGATTTCCTCATTGATGGGGGCGCCGTAACTGAGGGTATTCGGGAACTCAATCTCTACGGTGACGTCACCTTCCCATGCCCTCTGACGAGGCTGGACCTCAAAAAAATAATCACGAAGGCCAAGTGTTTTGCGAACGGGCAATTGGAATACCTCGATCTATCAGGCAGTTCGCTTGATAAGAGTCACTTGGCTATTTTCTCCCCTCAACTGGCCCTGCGTAGCCTTGGACTCAACTTCCTCGGTACGAGTGTTAATGTACATGAGGGTACCGAAGGTTTGGCACTTTCGGATGTTCGTGAATTCTTGTTGAACAAGGCTCCGAACGTTGAGATTGTTACACTTGTTGGAAGTACGCCTGAGCTGACGGGTATAGCTCACGCTGCGGGTCCTCGAGCTACCTACGCACCTGCGACGACTCTCACAACCGCAAGAGGTGCTATCTCTATGGCGCTGCACTCACAACTCATTGAGCCTCTGTGCGTGCCGCCGTTCAGAACCTTGCGTGGATCTTCCAGGATCCCGCCTCCGCAGCCGCCAACAAGGTTGCGCGTGATCGACTTGTCGATGAGTACACTATCCTGTCTAGGGGGTGGAGCGCTCGGGTGGAAGATTGTGAAGAGTCGTGGTGGTCGAGCATGGTACGTCAATTCGACCACCATGTGGGTTAATGGCGTCCTTCAGAGGGGCGTGCAAAGTGGGGGAGTCACTGAGTGTATTGAGAGGTGGGCTCGCGAAGGGAGTGCAACTGGAGTGGGTTGGCACGCAAGAAAAATGGAAGTGTTGCATGGACGGGGGATGCTTGGTAGGGAGGATGGACTTTACGGTGCCGTTTCTTTTGCGTATACGGGATGAGCGTTTATTTTCGCTTTCTCGTACACATGACATTTGACTTAGCATATTGATGCTTGTTGCTGCGGAAAATAACAGTGTATTCCCAATCTAATCTCAATGACTATGAATTGTTGGATGGCTCTTATGCATTGGGAATTAGTGCACAGTGGGAAGTAACCCCGGCAGATGGTGTAGGGTTGCCCCGGTACCAGCCCTGCTAGGTAGCCCCATTACCATTTGACGGGGCCAACCATCAGATTTCGAGTGCCGGGACCTCCTATCAGATATGCGCAGTCTGACGGGGCCATCCTGACGGGGTACCCCGGAAATACTGACAGGGTTCCCTGGAAGTTATTGATAGGTAACCCCGCCTGTTTTAATAGTAAATCATGATATATTCATTTGGTATATAGTAATACACGCATACACTGGCGCTTGTCATTGCGAGTGTCGGAGAAAATAATACCCCAAGGCTATACTGAGGGTGCAGAGAAAACCTCGCGCTAAACCTCGCGCTTGAACACACCTTTGCAGGGATAACCCCTCGGGCCGGCGTAGGTCCCAAGAGCAAGTCGGTTTCGAAGATAGGATGACAATAATCAGTAAGGTAAATATGGCAGGTAGATCGCAAAGCAAATGATGAGGTGAATGGTGGGGTGAACGGTGGGGAACACATAGTTTGCTCATCTGTGAAACCCGACCCGCAGGGTTCCAGCACTCTTTGTACCTCACCAACGGGAGTTCGCCTTTTAGCCGTGGAGGAAGCTATTGTCTTCCAATTCCGGACACTTTTGGGAAGTTTGATTGTTTCCTGGAGTAGAAAGTTAGCAAGGAAATGGGAAGGGGAGGAAAGTTAAGAGCGTAGTAGTAGGCACACTTTGTGGTTAGGCACCAGTGCAGGCTCTGCAACAGCGCATTGGGCAATGCCATGATAACACATCTGGTCTGCATCCTTCCATGTCGGTTGGCCCAAAATCTTGGCATCAATGAGTGAAGAACACGTCAAAACGCGTGAGAACGTGTCCAATTGTACAAGCCTGACTATTAGAATGGAAGCGTGCACGGTGCAACAGAGCATGGGCCCACAGTGTCGGACTCAAGAATTGAAGAGACGAAATAGCAGACACAGATATGGCTCCCACCAAAGGGTGCAATGCAGGCTTGATCGCCAAGATCGGATGAGCTGATTGTGCAAGATCGCTCAACCTGGATTGGCAATAGTAAGCATTGAAGCACGTATTAGGATGCAGAAAACAGAGGGCCAGCCAAGAAAAACATGGCTGCGCATATTACGGATATCCAGCATTGATTGGATGAGTGGGGGGGGGAACACAGAGATAAGAGAGATGACAGGTGAGACGAAGTTCCAAAGTAAATGGCAACTCCCGAACCGACAAGGATGAGGAAAGGAACCCAAAACCGACATTAGCGCCCCGCGCTTCCACTCTTCCCAATGGTCTCCTTGCTCCCAACAATCACATGCCTACGGTAGCCCTGGTACTCCACTCGACTGAGCAGCATTTCGAAGAAAATGATAAGTATTTTAATGTGATGGTAAAACCCAGTACAATCTGACGGGGAACTTCCCACACCTGGACGGACTTGAAAAGGGAGGACATGGAACTCAGCGATGATGAGAATGAGGGGTTGGAATCCTCTAAGTTAATGTGTGAAATTGTCTTTTGGTATCAATATGTAAGTCAGAATCCAGATGCTAGGTAGCCCCGGTATTACACACGACTGAGCATTTCCAAAAAGCTGATAGGGACTCCCGGCATTTTCGATTAGGTGATGGTACAACCCAGTACAATCTGATGGGGGGACTTCCCACAGTGAGTGCCTGCTGCGACAAGCCATGAAATGACATGGACCTCAAAATTGGTTTGGACGGTTTTTTGTTAACATGGACTCGCGCCTTGCGCCCTCCCCGCTCTGACGGTACCAGAGTGTCAGAACACATATTGATGCATCCCCACCACTGCAATAGCTTGGGTTGTGCCTTTATCAACAACAAAACCATATTCGGATGGAAACACGATCGTAGATTAATGCTTTCAATTCAGGTGTGTTACGGGTGCGTCTGATGCATGCGGCGTCACTTGAGATTTGTGATGTTGAAGAAAAGGAGTGTTGTGTTATCAGCGGTTCGACGAGCGTCTGAGCACGATATCGACGTTCGCTAGATATCGTGCTCCTGGCATTCTTAGCACCCTTATATACATGTGTATATGGTATCGCGCCACATGCGGCGCTTTGATGAACAGAAGGAAGTCCACAACGTGGGGTTTCTGAGCTTTGCGTGTGTCCAACTAACTTGACAATGTGTGGCTAGTCCGCTAGCCTCTCCGCCACTCGCAACGTCGGGTTGCCACATGAACAGGTTGCGGGAGCGTTGAGCTGAGCGTCTAAGTCAAGGGACATGAGACTCCGAGGGCATATCATACTAGTAGAGCTAATTGTGCGCCGACGATCCAATCACGGTGTGAATTTCCAACGCGGCTTCAGTATTGCTTGCGGGTTCCGCAATTCAATTACATAGCTGTATGTATTGGTCGTTATCGGCGTCAATACGCTTCGACGCCCACGCGCGATTAATGCCAACTGTGTGGCTAGGAGATTAAAAAATGACTCAGTAAACGCACAGTGGTTGTGCTATCGTGGCGGTGAAAGCGGCAGCCTCACCGATATATACCCGCAGGGCCGCAGCTTGTTTAACACAGCAGCGGCTCGGACGCGGTGTGCCATTTGGAAGTTGGCTGTGATTGTTCGATCTTGTGAGGCATTATTTGCGCGTCTCCTGGGGCAATTTATGAATGTGATGTTACACTAGGGGTTATTGACAATGTTGGTGCAACAAGTTTGGGTCACAACCAGCGTTTGGCTTGGCATCAAATTCAATATCATTATCAATTCAGCCTCCTCAAGGCCCTTGCTTATAAAGGAGATCCAACACAACCACGGTCACTCTTTTCACTCCCACTCTCCTTTCACAGGCGTTGTCCCTCAACTCCCTCAACTCCCTAATCCCTTATCATGTCGACTGATACATCAGGTTGGTCGGCAACTACAACGATCATAGGTTTGATGGCGCTAAAGTATGATCTTCCAACGTCCCACAGAGTTACTTGCAAGGGAAGCCACAGGTCTGGCCAGCAATCCCCCTGCCTCCGAACCTCGTAGCAGCAATGGTGATACCGAATTATCAAAAGAATCCATCCTTCGTACGGTTTCCCCAACGAACGTCGTTGAAAACACTAGGACCGAACCAGACAGCCCCTCCAACAATCTAAGGAGGCGTACAAATCTCATTCATGACCAAGATGCGGGAGATGCTCCCACCAGTGCGGGGGATCACCAGCGCGTCACTTCGTGGAAGTCCACAATGAGCTCACTCTTTGTGCCAGAGAAGCAGCTTGGGAAGGAGCCTGCCACAATGGACAGTTTGAAAGCAATCGTCTTTGCTTCATGTGAGCTCGCCGCTCGCTTTAGTTCAATTTCCTTTTTTTTTTTGATCCCGATTCGCGGCGGCGGCCATCTCTCATTTTTGGATATCCGTTACCAGTTGGGCTATACTAACGCATGATCATTTTATGACGTAGGGCTTAACCCTCTTCTCATCTTCATTCCTATTTCTGTGCGTGTCATTCTGACTTCACGGCTCCCCCTGGCAATTTTATCACCTGACTGATATTGGTTTATCCCAGTGGGCCTTGCATTTCGCTCTGAACCGTGGAAAGTCATCCAATGACACAGTCATCTTCGTTAGTACGTCTCGCCTCTGCACGGGCGCAACCTCTATTGTTACCAACATGATCTAATAAGCCTTATCTTACCGCCACATTTCATTGACTATCTTTGGGATCCGCGTTATCTCGCTGCTTCCGGTTTCCAAATCCCCGTTCTTAAATTGGTTATTGGTTGTCACTGCCCCGCGTTCGGATACTTATGCGTCACTCATTCCATCCTTGGAATTTGGTGTTTCTGACCTCGCTTTTTCAACACCACTTTCGTAATCGGCTTTTCCCTCTCTTTTATGGTTAATTCTGGTCCCAATCTGCGAAATACCTGGGCAATCAGCTGCTTTCCTGGCCATAATACCTCTTGCTAAGCTCCTGGCTTGGGGGACGGAGGAGCTTTCCATGCGCGTTGGGCAAACTCTTGGCGGTCTGTTGAATGCCACGCGTAAGCAGTGTGTTTTGGCTTCTGAGATGCGTTGGCTTGACGATGACTGATTGCAGTGGGCAATGTTGTGGAGTTGATTGTTGGAGTAAGTTTTCTGACATGGGGCGAACTCATGGCTCGTCCTTTGGATCCGATGATGATTCTCATATTCAACGTATTGTTTCATAGATAATAGCTCTTACGTGAGTTTTTCAATCTTCCCTGTTCATTTCGTAGATGGCGCAGATCATTGACATCTCTGCCCTCCTATAGGCAATGCAAACTACGTGTTGTCCAAAGTTCCTGTATGTTTGCTCTCCCAATTGGTCACCTTTTCGACGTGAACTGATCATTCGGGATGCTCGTGACCGCCAATACAGTGGTAGGTTCGATCCTGTCGAACCTGCTTCTGGTTCTCGGCATGTGCTTCTTCGCGGGCGGTACGCGCTTTGCCGAGCAGGGGTTTATGCAGACTACGGCGCAGCTCAGTGTTTCACTGTTGGTTTTAAGTGTCACGGCAATTCTTATTCCCGGTGCGTTGTTTTTTCCGTCGGCTTGAACGATGATGCTGATACCCTGTGTTGTATTTGTTCTTGTGGATGGCTGATGGGTGAACAGCCGCATTTAAGGTGGCTACTACCCAGAACCTCCAAGATCATGATCAACAAGTTGATGTGCTTCGTATGAGCCATGGGGTTGCCCTTATCCTTCTCGCTATGTGAGCAGCCCACTCTTTCCTCAGCCGTTCAGTCGTGAAGTTCAGCTAATTGTTATCTTGTAGTTACATCTCATACTTGATTTTTCAACTCTGGTCGCACGCGCACCTCTTCAATGAGAAGGACGTGAACAATGCTCCTTCCCCTTCGAAACAGTATCCTCCCAGTGATGGCAAGCGCCGAGCCCGATTTGAGGCGGCGAAGAATAAAGTGAAGCATCTGGGAAGGAAGAAGAGTAATGGTTCGCACTCTACAGAGGAACAAGGGGAGCAAACAAATAAAATGGAAGGTACTAGCGCTCCTGTACAGGACGGGAACGCAGATGCAGAAAAGGGCGCAGGAACTTCGGTTGTGGATGAGGAGACCCCACAGTTGACTCTGGTGGTTACGTTTGGACTTTTGGTTATAGTGACTCTCGTGCGTTTTTGCATCCTGTCATACCTCTTTATCTTGCTTCGTTCTGAGTGCAACGTCTCTTTTGCAGCTCGTGGCCGTCACTGCTGAGTTCCTCGTTAGCTCCATCGATGGGCTCACGCAATCGGGTAACATCTCCGAGGAATGGGTTGGTCTCATCCTTCTGCCCATTGTGGGAAATGCTGCGGAACACGTTACTGCCGTGACCGTCTCTGTGAAGGATAAGTTGGACCTTTCGATTGGTGTGGCCGTTGGATCCTCGATCCAAATTGCACTTTTCGTTATTCCGTGCGTCGAATCGTTTTTTTTTCACCCTCGGTGGGAGGCACGGTTGGCATGCGTACTAAGTTACCCTGCCGATATTTCTTAGATTCCTGGTTATTCTCGGGTGGATCATTGGGAAACCTCTCACGCTCCTCTTTGATCCTTTTGAGAGTATCGTTCTTTTCCTGGCTGTTCTGACCGTTGCATTCTGCATAAGTGACGGTAAGAGCAACTGGTTGGAAGGCATGATATTATTAAGTTTATATGTCATATTGGTGCGTAATTTCTTCGTCTTGGCGTAAGACTTCATTGATCGTTGGACTATGTTTAGGCCGTCGCATTTTGGTGGTATCCTGCGTCGTGAGTTGCCCTGTGTTTGATTCCATTTGACGCATGCCCCTTACGTACTTCGTTGGCTTGCTTTATAACAGGACGATTTCGAACTGCTAGGATTCAGGTATCCGATCCAGGGAGAAGTTTCCCCCCCATATTTTCAATGTTAATTCGACTTTATGTTATGGTCGATGAATCAGAATTATTTGTTGACATGCCTCTTTCTTGCCTTTTCATATTTCTCAATCCCCCTCTCGAGTATACCCCTTCCCATCCTGTTTTCGTGGATATGAAGCGATTCCGTGGTGCAATGGAATGAAACGTGTTACGAAAGCTAACCGGCACTGGGCACGAATTAACGTAGCGTGCTCAATGGCGACCGAAAGAAGCGGGGAAAGAACATGCACGATGGCTCACAGTAAGGTGTGGAAAGAGCCTTGGCGATAGCGATGATCTGGTGGAAAGTTCCGCAACTAGGATGCTGGGTGCGAGACAACTGGACACTTTGGTGTAGCCTTCGATCGCCAACACGCTCCCTCGGTCCATCCTCCAACACAAGGCTGAGGACGGGGACCAGATTTGAGTTTCGGTTACATATGTATAATTCACAAATGATATATATTTTGTATCACAGTGAACTACAAGCGCCGATACATAATCATCAGGTAGACAGGACCATAGATCAACATGATGACCCCCCTCACTCCCCGCCCGCCCACCAGATCTCACAGATCGGACCGACCCCTTCCTCCCCTAGGCAGGTGACCAGCCTCTCTTTAACGGGAAGAGATCCCTCCCCTCCCATCTTTCCTGCAGTACCATTTGTCGTTACCCGGACAACACCCCCTTGTCCCCTTTTCATATCCAGGATCCCTTCAAGGTTATGTCAATACATATTTGCGAGGAACACCTGGATGCATCACAGCAATGATCTGAGGGATATGAAGGACGAGTAAAATCCAAACTAGAGGCCAAAAACGCCTAAAAGGCGCTATGAAGCGATAAATTTTCTGGCGAGAGCCGATCCGCCACCTTAATAACCATTGAAATCTAGGATCAAGCCACAGGCACTGTGACAAAAACCCTGAGTCTTCGGCGACGGCCCAGCAACGCTATATGTCTCATAGAGTTGTCTGACAACGGGGAGATCGCCTTATTGATGTTCGTCATAGAGGCACCGATCGCGTCCGGAATTTGAAATGTCATCTGCGGATCCGGATGTCGCCGAGATGCGGAGGTACGAGGAAGTCAATTTCTGCCCCATAATCCGAGCGGGGTTCGACGCGTCTAACCGTAGACATCCCTCATTAACATTCCGTTCCCAACATTGTGTAATTTGTTATCTTCTTGCTTCTGCTGCTGCGCGTCATGACCCATTCTAGTCCACGGAAGAAGAGCTATCCCAGCTCCGAAACGACACCGACAGGTCCAGAAGAAGTCTTTCAACGTGACCTGAAGAAACGCGTTGAAGAGGAGCTTTCCGGCCACGCATGGGAGTTCGATGCAGATGATGTCGCCCGCATGCTGTCTCCCCAAACAGGAACACAAGGATAAAGATTTTCTGGAGCTTGTTACTTTGACATCAGGCTCGAAGAAACTAAAATTGGGGCAAACCTCCTCGAACGACGACAGGGATAAAGATGACGATGAGTACGATATAAGTACGTGAGATGTCCCTTATACTTGGAAAAACATATGGCTGACATAATTTTAGTATTTCCATCGCCATACAACTTCAATGGTCCGTTCGATATCCAATTCCGTGACCACCAGACGACCAGGAAGGAAAGGATGTACGAAAAGGTGTTAAATCCTTCTTTCGTCATGAAGTGCTCTTGGCCCCCTCATGCGAAGAAAGACTTCGAGCGCAACATGTACCGAGCTTCAAAGGGCGAATTCAGAACGATGACACTCTCGTCTCACGAGCCATTCAATTCCAGAGGTTATAAATCGACAAATTCGTACCTGCTTTCACGTCCCAATTCGAATACCAGCGACTTTCGTCTAAAAGATATTCCAGAGAGCCCCGACTATTGTAGTTTAGCGGTGACGCTTCTTCGGGATCAAGGCTGTAGCCTTGAGTACTGTGATACCGCTTGGGATTTGTGCATCTGTCTTTTGCATGCCATGCTCGGTTCGCATTGCGGTTCTCTTCTCCTCTCCAAAATCGAGTTAATCTTCGCAGGGTGGCTTTCAACGTATCAATGCGGGTGCCTGCAACGAGACGTCAGCATCGGGAATGTTCTCAAGCTAATGCGACCTGCCCAAATGGTACCGTTCAGCATCGACAAGTTGAAAGAGTTTCACCACGCCATCATGTACAGCAATGAGAATGTGGGCGAATTTAGCAAGGTAGTGCGCGGCAAAGTCGAGGCATTGGAAGAACGTTTAAGTAAACCAAGAACAGCTCGGGAGGTAAAGGAAGAGGTTGGGAAGGCAATGTCCACTGCCGAGGCTCTACAGAGGGAAATTACAGAACTAGGGCTGTCTGCCGAGTGCCGGGCTATTATTTCAGATGGTGATCTCGCATCGTACATCCCCGCCTACTTGGCCAGAAGAGACACTTCAGAATCGGTCTCAGTCAGTCTCACATGTTGAAGCCAACCGTACCTACACTGAAGCGTTCTGCAGGGAACCTATGAGTTCATGTCTCCTGGTATTCGTGGTGCCATGGACGCGGAAGATCGATACCTCCATACTCCACTGGACGACATGTATTCGTTCTTTTATGTTGCAGTGTGGGCGACTTTGTGGAATATCAAGAAAGGCCATACCAAACGTGAAGATGTTTGGCGTGATGGCCTACGAAGTAAGGAACGTGATGCCAAGGTGGTTGACCTCCTGGCTCAGCGTACTGAGAAACCTTCTCAAACTTATGCTCCAATCATCCTTGGAATGATCCCTGTTCTTGATGATTGGTGGATGAAACTTTCACAATTGCGCAGATCCTCCGGACCCTCCAGGGATGAAGATCAAGGGATTCTTCGCCTGGTATATTTTGACCAGTTGGCATACCGCGGTATTGCAGACTTTGTCCAAATTGTGAAGAAGCATCTCCAGCATATCCAGAGTACAGGATAGAGCAATAGGAAGGCTGGATGAATTTCTAGTTCATTTTGCCATTAGTACCATACTTTAAAATAGGGCCTCGCATGCCGTGGTGAATTCGATGTGGTCGTCCGTCCAAGCTGCCTTTGGGGATTCGCCTGCTGTGTCCTCGGGCAGGTATATTTGGATTCGGTCTTCGATGTCGTGTTCTGAAATGTGCCATGGGGCTTCGAGGATCCTCTCTGTGCCTTGTAGCATATATGCGAGAGGCAATGCGCATGATGCGTGTCGTGAACTTCCCGCACGGATCTGTTCGGTAGTGATTCCGTGGGTTGAAGACTGGGATGGGAGGTGGTTCGTCTCCTCTGTTCGGGGTATAGGCGGTTGATAATTGGGTGATCGTTCGGGAGTTTGGATAATCGAGTTGCCTTCATATTTGGTCTGTTCATAGGTACAGTCCAACTCAGGACTCTTGTGAGTCTGAGAACTTACGTGTCATAGCTTTACTATCTTTAAAACAGCTACTCATACCATTGCGCAGTTACAATGTTATAGTATAGAGATCTTCCCCGTTTGAGTGTCCCCGTTGAGTATATTGCATTGGGGTTACACGGTGAGGCCGAGGAATCATGCAACCATCGACAGTTCTATGCAGTGGCGTCTGTCATCGGAGGATAGACGGATTCCGTTGCACGATTGAAAAAATATCGTACACAAATAACAATGAAAAAAAAAACGAGCAAAGGCGGAACCGAGCAGCAGCCCAGTCATAGATAACTTCTGAGAAGTGAGTTGGATACGGTAACGTGAAAAACAAGGAAAGGGGGTGCATACGAAAAAAATTCATTACTTGGAATAAAAGAAAGAAAGAAAGAAAGCAAGAAATCAGCGAAAATTTCATCCCAATGGCCACAGTTCACGAGCCTATGACCTCGCCCCCGCTCCAGCACCCACTTCCTCAACAATGCTCTCGTAAGTAGGGGGAATCTCAACTTCCCTAACTCTCCCTGCATCCTTAGCAACAACAACCCTGCCCTGCCCTCCATCCTCATCAGTTCCGTCTGTCTCTCCCCTATTCACCACTCCCAGTTGCCCCCCAGTGCCTCCCACCCCACCACCACTCCCATCCGTCCCCGTGCCCGCACCCTGCCTCGAAGAGGCCGCTTCTAGGGCTTTATTCGCTCGGGGACTATAAGCCCCATACGCACTTTCACTCGCGTCAGATCGCCCTGCGGCACCAGTCGCACCACCCATGTTACTAGTAGGAGGATAATGCGATCCAGATGTAACAGTAGGGGCATACTGGCTCATCTCAGGAAGCGGACTCACACTTCCATTCTCACCTCTACCGGAAACATCCCCACCACCAGCACCATGATACAGTGCTCCTAAGCCAGCTACACCAGCCGTGGAGGGTGTTCCAGGTGTAGTAGTACCCGCACCAGCGGAGGGATACTGCCATGGCCGAGATTCCGCATCTGTGTTGGGATCTAGTTCCCCGCCTAAATCCAGATTCGTTCGTCCGAGGGAGGTTGGCTTTGGTATGTGGGCATCGGGGTCAAAGTTCCCGTCGAATTCATCCCATCTCTGTGTGGGTGATCACGCAAGATGTCAAAAAAAAAAAAAAAAAGCTCCATTCGTCAGTTTTCACGTTAGGTAACCAAATAGGAGTGCAAGGAAGATGAAGAAATGAATCAGGGACGCACCCTTCGACGACGTAACCACCAAACTAACAGCGCCGCGAGCAAAAAGATGGCCGCTAATCCACCTACCACACCACCAGCGATAGCACCCACATTCGTTTTGCTGCCACCTCCATTGCTAATCGCACCAGCACCAGTAGTAGAAGCAGGTACATTAGTCGTCACTGTCCTACCATCGGTCACAATGATGGTCGCAACAGAAAAAGTCGTCACGGTAGAGGTGGTCACCAGAGGGAATGTTGAACCGGTAGTTCTTGTAGAAGTTGTGGATCCAGATGATTGGGAAGTTGAAGACCCGACTGAGGTCCTGCTTAAAGAACTGGCTGTAGAAGTAGTGGTGGAACTGGAGAAGGTAGTAGAAGGCGTGGAGGATGTGGAGGGTGTGCTCGATGTGGAGGATGGACTCGTCGAACTACTCGTAATCGAAGTGGTAGATGTGATTGTGGGGGAAGAATCACTAGTGGAAGTGCTGTTCACTGGTTTAGTAGTTGGAGTTGTATTTGTTGGAATGGTGGTGGTGGTGGTGGTTTCCGTCGTCGTGGCATTCATAATCGTCAGTGAAGTAACGTTCGTTGGGGGATCCGTTGAGGAGAATTTAATTCGATTTGGAAGAAATCACGTTCATTCATCATGGCAGAAAATTAGGGAAAAGCAAAGAGAAATCGTTAGTAGGTGAATTGTACTCCTTGCGATGAGAAGGCGTTTTGGTCATGAAAAGCTTTTGAATGAACGACGATACTTGACGTCGAATACGGGTAGCCTGTTTTTGCGTCGCAAGTGTACGAAAAGGTGGCACGAAAGACCGGAAAGGCTATAAAGAGATAATGCAAGACTTACGAGACATAACTGCAGAAGGGGTATTTCAAATCCTAGACAGCAAGCGAAGGGAATTGGTCAGAGATAACGAGTAACAGAGGCAGGTCGAAAACAGATTCGGTTTTCCACGACAATCAGCGCGACACGTCCGTGTGAGGCTCAATTCAAAGGGGAATCGGCAGTGGAAATCGTTCAAAGCAGTCCTTTTAGCGGGGTTCAGTGACGATGGCGTTCAACGTCCTTGTTGAATGTTCGTGTCCTGTGTTGGTCCTCCTCAATAAAGGCAGGTCGTCCGTTGTCGTCAACGGGTTTTTGTGTTTGCTGCAGTAAACAAGCACACTGGCCAAGCAGAAGGAGGTGGAGGGGGTGGCACCCGTTGCTGACAACCCTACTGAAGTCCGCTCTTGTATGCAAGGGCTGTGCTCCCCTCCTTTCGCAGCCTGAAACGTAAAAAGTGTCGAAGATGACTATTTTATTGTTCCCGGAATTAAATACGTAACATGACAAATTAAAGATACACGTGTCCTTGAGAATATCTAAGCCTATAGATAAGGACCATGCCGGTAGTTGGTCATGGCCAATGATAAAATTGCAATTGCTATTGCTGGTGTGTGGCTGTTAAGAGGTCCTCGGGTACTACTGGTGGTGCTGAAACTGCAACTACTTGGTGCTGTTCAAGCTGTATCCGCCATTCGAAATGCTCTATGTATGGATGTCAGCACGATTCGTGACAGCCACTTCCAACATCTGCCATCGGGCATTCTATCTTGATTCTATCCCAGTACGTAGGGGCGTTCTCGCCGTTTATGCAAGCCCGTTTTATGGATTCTCCTCGTAATCGCTTCCGTGGAGGCCGATCCTCGCTGTCAATAGAGGTCCTGCGTTGGTGATGTCCATACTCCGATCACACGGCTTGCTCATCTAGATGTAAGCAGTATTTATGTGACAGGACCCGGTCGCCCGCCTACTGACTTTGGAGGAGTCTCACGCAACACGTTGTCTCAGAAGGACAGGATTTAGATGGTTCTCTCCCTTCATTTTATTGCTCCCATCGTGTGGTGCTATACGGGCCCGCATTGATCCAATAAGCGCTCCATACTAAAGGCTTTTTCCACTTGCTTCTTCGATGCTATAAGCCTTTGTTCCTCCGGATGCGGGTCCTGGTAGCATGTGAATGTCTTGTCTGCTCCTTACCGTCCTAGTGCAGCTTCCTCCAACTATCCTCACCTGCCAGTCAAAAATTGGGCACGTAGTGATTGTCGAAGCCAATCCTAAACAGTGAGCATTAAGGTAAAATGTTTGCCATCGAGCAATTTTCCCGTCTACGACGTCCCTGCGTCGCACAAGTATGGACGACAACTAGAAAATATCCCCGTATCCATGGCATATACACCCGCTATTCAATCACCAATCACGCAAATTTTGGGCAGACATTGAAAACTTTCACACAAATCACACATTCAAGACATGGTAGGCCGCTGATTGGATGAAGGCATCTGATCTGGCTACGAAGGCTCAGATGATGAAGGCGGGAGGCTGTCTTTGTCCAGAACGCTGGGGTTAGGTTAGGCGACGTGGATGCTAACGAGAGGTCTCTGGTGAGTGCTTGGAGCGAGCGACTTCTACCGACCATCTGCCTCTCTTGACCCATCCTTAACAATCTGCTTCGTCGAGGGGCTTTCAGACGCTGGGCCCCCAATGGCGGCTGAGTGTTCGTTCTTGCAGCATAATTGACATGCCCTACAACTCCAACAAGCTCTTGAGTCGATGCTAGATGAAAGATGTTGGCTGGGTCGTCCAAGTGTTACACCCGAAACTATGGTTCGTTTTCCTAATGTATGCTCGCTTGGACTCAGCCTCCGGGCAACTAAACGACGTGTCTGTGATGGAAGGAACGCGGAGGTCTGGGATCAACTCCCAGCCTGGTTGATGGCTCATCTTTGCGGTTACTGGTCGCATTGAGGTGACCGTTTCAGGGACCGTAATCATACTTGTCTCATCGGACCATCGTAGACAATACCTTCGTCCCAATCATCATAATATGGGAGGGCTCGTTATGCTCTAAAATTTTAGTTGAATGAATCCGCTCTTTAAAAATCTGCGGTACGATACCTTATATTTATGAGAAGGTGGTTCTTGGAGGCGTTAAGCTGATAAAGCAGGAAGGCAAATTACGCGTAGGGCAAAGAAACAAAGGCGGGTGGCGGGGAAGCGTTCTGAGCGGATACTTCTTCAACAGTTCCGTGATCGGACACGCATTGAGATGCAAGCAACAGTACAAATGCCTTGGTTCGTACGTACCTGGTTCGGAGTCGCACCATATAAACATAAAGAAGCTTTGGAAGTAAGCCACGACCATAAAATCGCTTCCTGAATTACGGATTCGGGGTTCCGATTGAGGGGATACGTACGTGCGTTCATGGATGAGATTCCCCATGATCTCGAATCAGCCGATACATGATTCCAAAGATGCAAGCTCAGAGCCAATATATGTGCGGCGGCGAGAAGCCCGCCTCAAGTTCAGGTATTTCTAATATTTACTGGAAAAACAAGCGCGCCATACTCTCGACGATCATATTCTTAACATGATAATAGTCCTATGAGAGGGCCTGGGTCATCGTGTTGAGAGTTCGACGGCGACTAACGGCGCTTGGGCTCACTACGGGCGTGCAGGCCAGATCTATGCTTTCTTTTCAAATTCAACCGCCGCGCCGCTGGCACATCTCATCGATCTTGTTTTTGCGTATCTTCTCCCGTTCGTAGCTCGCCTCCCTCAGTTTACTCTATCGTGGAAATGAGGCAAGGGCGGTAGCACGAATATTTGTCAAGGCCATCGCTAACGAAATGTGCCTCATATGCCTTAGCGCGAGTCATGGAATTTGTAACACATACGGGGCAACCGCGACTGACAGAAACCAGGTTGGCGGACGTACTGTGCGAGGGCAGAACTGGATTGCATACACCCGATGTGGTATGGAGGAGACGTTGACTTCTCCCAATCGCCCGTCTTCATCGGTATCGGAGCGGTTCAACCTTTCCGGCCCGCTGTCAGTGGTGTGTTGGATAATTGACAACAATCAGGGTGCACGTGAATAGAAATCGTCCGTGGCTCGCCCACGATTACAATATTATTTAGCCGAGGCCCGAGAGTCAAACCCACATACGGCAAATATCATTGCATTCGCAGCGTATCCTGGCTCGGGCGCTCAGAAGTTGCAGCTACCGTCGGTCCGGAAGCGAGTTTGGTCGTTGTCTATTGTCTTGATTCCCTGAATAGGAATAACGTCAGTTTGACTTCATCTGGACTCCGATCCCTGCAAGTGCTTCTGGCTCCTCGATAATATCCCTAGCGTGCACCTCCTAAGGTCCGCCGGCCGACTCCTTGCATTGCTACATATAAAGAGCTCATCTAACGATGTTCCAGCCTTCTCCGCGAACCGCCAGTTGTTAACTTGGTGGTTCAAGCACACACGCAATGGCTTCATCTGATACACAGGACATTCTTAATCAGATATTGCATAAGTTAGAGTCACTGACGCTTCAAAATGCCGTTCTACAAGCTAAGGTTAGCATTCAGTCCTGACCCGCTCACTGGCTGGTGGTGTCGCACCGCAAATACTCGTATCTGACTATCCCGAGAAGGTCGAATCATTAACGGGAGGCTCAGTGCCATCCACGCCCCCCAATCTGGTGGGAGGCATTCCGATCTCCAATGCTCATCCCCGATCGAGTTCGCCAACGGCATTACCTTCGCCGACTTTCCAGACCTTGCCTTCTCTATACCCTCAGCGTGTCATTATCACCAGTGAGTCACAGGGAATTCCAGGCATCGTGCTTAGTTTGAATACTACGAACTTGCTTCTATATTCCTACCGCAGCCTATCCCGACCAGTCAGGCATTCGTCCGACGCCTCTACAATGGGGGGCGAAAGACCCACTCATTCGCGGACCCGTTGTCTGCTCACGCAATCCTTCCTCCATTAAGGTCCGAAACGCAATCGGCGCCCACTCGGGCTCCTATAGCATTTACCGTGCCCTAGCAGTAGGAATGGGTGCTCTCAATATGGACTATAAGCCCGACTACAATCTCACCCAACCACCTGTGGATTTCCCTCCTCAACCATCTTGGTTCGATGCGTCTAAGATCGTTGCTTTCGACCCATGGGGCCACGTTGTTCCCCAGGTGTTCAAGAAGGACATGGATGCAGGACTGAATGTCAGGCCAAGCATTGCCATCACGAAGGCGCATATAAAGCTCAGCGAGATTGATCATCCGCTCCCAAATTATTCCTTGCCAGTGGATGGGACGTTCGTGCTGCGATCAAGGCCTCTATTGAATGAAGATGGAAGCGTGTTAGAAGTAGACCCTGGTGTTGAGCTACCCGTCGTGAAGGCTGCCGTTGAACCAGTTTGGTATCTTCCTGGGGTGGCGGGGAGATTCGGAATGTGAGTAACTCACGTTAGTGGTGTTCGAGGTCGGTGGTTCTGGCGAGCTAATCCGAATCGTAGGACGGAATCTTTACTCCGCCGCGCCCTATTCGAGGAGACCGGTGGAATGTATCCTGAACTTATCACCCGCCCCGATATCAAAGTTTTTCTTCCACCTATTGGAGGACTGACGGTGTACATTTGTGCGCTTCTCCAGTTACCTTCCTCTACTGAATTATGCTCACTGGTTTTCGGGAACACCAGTCGGAAACCCGGCTTATATGAGTGATCCATCTAAAGAACTCACCCTACGTGTACATGATGAATGTAACGGCTCGGACGTCTTCGGAAGTGATATCTGCAGTGCGTGAACAATTACTGTGTCGTTTACAATTAACAAATCACTTATTTTGGGCCTTGGATTAGCTTGCAAGCCATACCTCATTTTTGCCATAATGGAGTGTGTCCGTACGGCTCAACGTGGCGGTGTTGGTGTCGTCGTCTACTTCAGGAAAGAAGGGCGGGCGTTAGGCGAAGTCACCAAGTATTATTCATTCATGAATTCAATCCTCTCGACTCAACCAAGCTTGATTCCAGGTATCTCGTATATAATCTCCGCAAACGCGGCGGCGACAGCGCGGATCGCTACTTCAAGTCTACAGAATCCGTCGCTGGTGTGAAAGATATGCGTTTCCAGGCCTTGATGCCCGACGTATTACACTGGCTTGGTATCACCAAGATCCATAATATGGTCTCGATGAGTGACATGTGCGTGCTTCGATCCATGTTTTTGGCTCTTCATCCAAATTTCAACGTGAATTTAACTAACATGTTCGTATGAAACAGGAAATACAATGCTATCGTGGATTCCGGCATCCCCATCCTTAAGCGATACGATATTCCAGAACATCTTATCCCTCCAGATTCGCGTGTTGAGATCGATGCAAAGATTGCTGCTGGCTATTTCACGAGCGGTAGGAAGATCACTGAAGAAGATCTCAAGAACACTGTCGGAAGAGCTTGGGAGGATACGGAGCATTGACATTGTGCCTTGTTTTGAGAGAGGTAGAATGCTTCGCCTCACTATGTTGTCAAAGGAATTGTGGCACCCTCAGGGGATTTACTTTTTTTTATACATGTTATTTTGATCTCATTGACTGTCTTGCATGCGTGCGTTATCAGCGGTACGGAGAATGTCTGGACACGATATCGTAGGTTGTCAGATATCATGTAAATACAGGGAAGATAGAGGCGGAGAGAGGGATGACGAGACTTGCCTGGACACGATATCGTAGTTCGCCAGACATAGTGCGCCTGACATGCCTAGTGTGCTTATACTAAGGCGGAGCACGAGTTAACTTCAAGTTGCGGGTCACCCGTATCCGAACCTACAAATAGTACTGAAGCTCAATCAGTCACTCGTACCCGCAGGTTTTTTGGGTTTTGAGCATATATACAATGTCATGCATGTTTGGATTTACTATGCAGCCTAACGATCAGATACTTCAGCTTCATTAGTCGACAACAGGATTGGACATGCGCTAGTTCTTTTTTCTCTAAGACTCAACCAACTCCTCTTCAGGGATAAGACTGGGAATGGCGGAGCATTGTCCACTGGCAATGACAGCACGAGTTGAGTGAAGGGTCAACTCTATCATTCTGACAGTCAGAACCACACTTTGCAGGTGAGTTTACTTGCAGGTGAACCTGCAGGTAGTTGAAAATTTTCATTAATGAAACTCAGATCTGTACAGGTGATTATTGCCAGGTAGGTACCCGAACCTTGCAAGTTTTTGCCCAAGTACCCGGATGACTCACAGGTATGCTAACTCGTGCTCAGCCTTACGAAGCACATCATTCTGTTGATCACTCTCTTGGAGGTTCCGTTCACTCATCATCCACCCAGAAGAATAAACCTAACACAGGGCATCAGCATCATCATTCAAGTCAGCGGAGGAAAGAACGCACCGGAAATGTGACCAACAGTGAAACACTGAGCTGCGCCGCAGTCTGCATAAATCCCTGCTCGGCAAAGCGCTGCCGCCCCGGCGACCAGAAGCAGGTTCGACAGGATAGAGCATACCACTGTATTGGAGATCATGGGAACGCCATAGCTAATCAGCTCACATCGAACAAAAGGAAAGGAGACGAATTGGGAGAGCACTTGGGACAACACGTAATTTTCATTGCCTATCGGATGGTAGAGATGTCAATAATTTGTGCCATCTACGAAATGAACTGGGAGGATTGTAAAACTCACGTAAGAGCTATTATCCATGCAACAATAGCGAGTATGAGAATCATCATCGGATCCAAAGGACGAGCCATGAGGGTGTTCACCCCACATCTACATCACGACATTGCCCACTGCCCAAATATGCAATCGGCTGTCAAGCCAACGCGTCTAAAAGCATGGCATTCAAAAGACCACCAAGAGTTTGTCCGACGCGCATGGCAAGCCCCCAAGTGAGGAGCTTAGCAAGAGGTATTATGGCCAGGAAAGCAGCTGATTGCCCAGGTAATCTGCAGATTGGGACCAGGATTAACCATAAAATGGTTGGAAAAGCCGATTACGAAATTGGTGTTGAAGAAGCGAGGTCAGAAACACCAAAATCCACGGATGGGACGGAGTGACGCTTATCCGAACGCACGGCAGTGACAACCAACTCAGGGGCGGGGATTTGGAAACCGGAAGTGGCGAGATAACGCGGATCCCCAAAATAGTCGGTGAACGTGGCAGGCTTGTTAGCTCATGTTGGTGACAATAGAGTTTGCGCCCGTGCAGATCTACCCTACATTGTAAGATGATCAGACGTCAGTACAGCACACTGGTAAGGCAGATCATCAAAAATGAGTGATGGCCGCCGCCGCGAATAAAAAGATTGGGTTTGAACTAAAGCGAGCACGATTCTTTTCAATCTGTCCATCATGGTAGGCTCCTCCCCAAGCTTCTTCTCCGGCACAAAAAGCGAGCTCATCACACGACTTGCTGCGGTCCCCATGTCCCTTGCGAAGTGGTGCGGGTGATCTCTTGCACTGGGGCCAGACCTGTGGCTTCCTTTGCAAGTAATTCTGTGGAACATTGGAAGTTCATACTTTAGCATCATCAAATCTATGATTGCTGTAGTGGCTGACTAACCTGATGTATCAGTCGGCATGACGAGGAATTACAGGGAGCTCGTAAATGGGAGTGGAAGAAAAGAGTGGTTACGTTGGATCTGCATTATAGGCTGAATTGATATATATTGAACAATGAATTTGATGCCAAGGCTGGTTGTCCATGATTGGACCTCTGTCCCTTCCTTCTGCTCCTTTCTTACAATGACACCCCCTGACTCACATTTTAACTTGACACCACCCGCCCTTCTGATCTTCCCGTTCTTGATGACCTCACATGTAGGAGTGCAATTTCCGCTACTCTGTAGCGGGTCTTGGAAGCGTAGACTGAATGGCCGTGCACGAATATTGGTTACTGTCTACCCGAGATCAGAGTATTTGGCACAGGAGCTAGGAATTCCAAACAAGATGCTAGATTTCCCCAATATGAATTTGGCGCTTAGGTCCCAGAAGTTCTCACGGCCGTTTTTGTTGTTGCTGGGCGCCTTTGAGCATAAGAGGCTGTCATCCAAACCCTATAGCGCGTCAGGATGGGTATCCATGAACTAGCGCCTTTCCTCCAGAAGACTTGGTGCGTAATAACTTTGACTTACCGCGACGCGCAGTGACACTGAACCATGACTTGGAACAGTCCCGATGTCATAAGAGAGTTGCCGAACCGGCCTTAGGGCCCTAGCGGGGAAGACCATAACCGTGTAAGTTGTCTTTCCATTATGTCAGACGTGTGATTTGACTGCCCCGCTCCACCGAAGCGACGGAATTCTAGTGACACAACGGCTGCATTTCTTGAACATCCCGTACGAGTTCAAACACATTCTTGGGTGGTATAGGCTATTGATGGAAAGGAACGAAGTGAAGCCAAGCAGGCTGAGGTCAGTGATCGTGGGCGTCCACTAATGTTGTTGGTATTCCTAACAAGCCGAAGATTGACGTTGGGGCTCTTGGGCCCCAAAATTTTTTAAGGCAAAACGGCGACGCACGGCCCGCTCCCTTATGCTTGCTCGGGGCACAATGGGACTCCAGCGCTCACGTCGTTTGCGGCAGATGAGCGACCTACTGCGGTACCACGCATCGAGATTTCCGGGAAATCAGGCGTGATACACTCCTGAATTCCTAAAAAAACACTCTGGTCCCCTTTCATGCTGTATCAGTCGCTTCTGAGAAACGCGAAGAAGTCTAACTTGGGCAGTTATTATCCGTTTCCCTTGTATGTGCGCTAGATCGGCTCTTAGAGGGCTCAAATCACCAGCCAAAGTTTGCGGCGAATCGTTCTGCAGTAGCACTGAATGATGATTCATCGCTGAACGGCGGGGCGGATCGCATACCTCTATCCCTGTTCTCACTGCACGGCTACCAGAAATCTCACTCTGAACCGAATCAGGAAAATCAACCGACTCTATCACCCGTGCAACCCCGCCACCGGATCCCCAGGGAACACCCTTGCGACACCAGCTGATCGGGGCAGTTTTGGCGACTTAGAGGAATATTATCGCGCCTATCGAAGGAGCGTCCCACTTTTCACTGTACCGCCAAAAGAACCCACAACCGGAAATGCGTCGACGCCTCGGACGATGCAGACGGGGGACTCCTTGAGTGTTGACGATGAGAGGGCTTCACAATGTGCGATCTCACGATCTCAACACGAGATGACCCTTCAAGAAGGTCTCATTTGGGACTCATTCTTCCAAACGCAAGATCTTAACTCCAGTGCAGAGCAGTTCGAAATCCTTGCTAGCAAGAGTCAAGCATTGTATAAGTCGTATGAGCATCGTGGAACACCGCCCGGGTGGGCCCCAACGCATGATCAAAGGTCGCTTGGGCATCTCACACCAGGTAGAGGCTTCACAGAGAAATGGAATAATGCCCTTGTCAAGGCCTGGCCTCCTGAAATTGTTGCAGAGGTTCAATGCCAACGGTCGCATTGACGTTCGAAAAGTAATCAAGATCAAGGTCACGCATCACAGCTTCCTCCTCTGGCAGCCACCGTGGTAGTCCATTTTCCGTTAAGATCTTTGCTACTTGGGTATGGTGGTATTTTCGCTCTGCATCCAAACTGAACCGCAGATTCTCTGGGAGGGGAGGGAGGGTTTCGAATATCTTTCAGGCTTTCTGCACCTCAAGGAGGCAATCTTCACGAGTAGCCCGTGGCTCTGGGGAGGGGTTAAAAACTGGTCTCGTTGTCCTTGTACGCCGGGGACTGCATAGTGACTTATTCGGCGGTGTCAGTCGTGTTTGCGCGTCGAGGATTTGTTCAAAACTTCCGTGAGCTCGAATGAGTTCTATCGCGCAACACGTCCTGACAGTGACACAACAAAAGTGAAAGTCTCTCCCATGAGTGAATGCCGAAATTATATCAGCGTACCGTATCCTCACTCGCAACATAGTCAGCGTGACCGTTCAGGACGAGACTTGATGCCAATGCCTCTCGGCCTCGAACGGACCAGTCTATAACAAGAACTTCGATGATAAGCTTACACTCTACATACGTGTTGTCAATCTCCGATGGTCGCACCCTTCCCCATTTCCCCTAAGCGTGCATTCCCAACTCCTTCGTTGACAGGCCTAGCGTCTTCACACTTGGTCCTTCAACACTCCCAATGTCGATTATGTCTCCTTTGCCCAAATGCCGGTGCCGTGCCCCTATTCGCAGCGCTTTTCCTTCGGGACCAAGAAGGCGAGGTCTTTACAGAAACTCCGCAACGAAGAATCTGACGATACTAGATCATAATCCATTACACTTCAGTATCTCCCATTTGTCATACTTCATGGTTCTTTCTCACTCATACTTATTGGTCTATGACGCCCGTGCCCGCCGTTCCGTCCCCCTAATCGCTATTGCGATTCCATTTCATTTGATCTGATGGAAAAACCCTCTTTTTTTTCCTCCCACGCCACGCAATTCCTCCTGTGTTTATTGGTCTCTGACCCACCCAAAAGTATCGCATCGAATAGTTATCCGATCAACTTCGTCTGTCCATCTTTCCAGGATTTCGCTTCCACGGACACGTTCATACCAACTATCAGTTCCTTGGATTTACATGACGTTGTGCAAGAGTCCCTTTACTACTCTTCAGTCCAATTTCATCTGCCGTGACCGAACCCGCCCATCCAATCGTCATAAACATTCATGCCCAGCCGCTCGCTCCCGTTTTGCCGTGCAATGAAGGCACGATTAAAATGAATCTAAGTGCGTTACGACCCGCCCGAATACCTTAGCGGCTTGCTCGCCACTCAATTCACCGTCACAATTCATCCCAATTTTCTCCACATCAGTTCGGTCCTAATCATGCTGTCTTACGATAGAGGGGAATGAAGCCACGCACAATCCATGCGCGAAGTGGGTGGCGCAATTCTTCTACTTTGCCCGCCATTCGCGCTTTGTCAAACCCCAAGCACTTTGTGCATTTAGAATAAAGGAATTGCAAGTTTATGAAATACAGCCTCCCTCCCCCCAGAAACGTACATTCATACATGTGGCTATCGTGCTCGATTCATAGGCAGCTCACATTATAGCTAAGGGGCTGATCCTGTCGAATCCCCCGCTTAGTTTCCATCTGCCCCTTTCCTTACTCTGCTGTCTTCCTTGCGGTCTCAGTCTTCCCCACACTAGGCCCGGCACCTCATCTGCCCATTTCATTTATAAATTGATGAGCGGCGCAGTAAGGAGTAGCACAACGTGGTTGCCCAGGATCACGGCAGAATGGTTCTACTAATAATTTGCAATCCACTGGCCAGACGACACGATGACGAGATGCACTTTACGCTGGCATCGAAGGACCCTTGTGTTGCGGCTGCTGCTGCATCTCAGCTTGCACAGCCTGGTGGGGTCGATCGCTTTGCGCACAATCTTTGGATGAGAACATTCGTTTGCGTCCAATCCCACCCTCTCCGTTCCGATCTGCTGCTCTACTCGCTTGCTGCACGACCGAAGCAACAACCCTGATCTTCGAATTTCAATTCTTGTCGAACTCTACCCAAGCTTCTTGACGTTCACACATGAATGTAGCCAAGGTATACGTTAACGTCGCGATCATACGGTCAAGTGCGAATTGTTATCGGGGATGATTGGCCAGATTTAGAACCAGACTTGTTGTAGGATGTCAAACGAGGCGTACTTTCACGCTACTCTTGAGGGGATCTGGCACTTCTATCTTGATATCACGCGAGAGCTGTCTCCGGTGATACTTTTCACGAGGATACCTGTCTATATGGTGGACAGATGCCCCCCTACGTCTTAGCCAGTAGCCGTAAGCTGGGAGGGGGTTCGAACGTTTGATATGTGCCACATGGAAGGCCTTTGTAGTTCCCAGCCGGCTATTGTGTGACGATCAAACCATCCGACCATCAGTAGATGCGCATGGGTGACCGTTAGCCACTACGGACGCGAGTCCGATGAGAGGAACGCCATGCAAGTCGGGAAAGCATTATGGCCGATGTCATCAGGGACGGGATACTGAAGATCCTCGCTGGATTGCGCGTGTCTGCACCATTTTGTTACAATGATTCGGGCAATCACTAACTTTGTTATCCCGCTTCATTGTTCGTCTTTAGCGTCCCCACACATGGGACACCAAAGCACTCTCCTATCGCAATACGCCACTTTCTTTGACCCCCGGACCCATCATTTGAATGCCACAAGGGATTCCTAATTACTGTTGCGTCGTCACGCGGTATCAAATTAGAGTTCAACAACAACCACCCAAAACAGGCGCACCAACTGTCAATATTACAACAGTCGAACCAACAAAAAGGAGTGATGGCATTGAATCCCAAAAGTCCACTGTATAGTCATTCCTTTGAATTATCTTCTTTTCCCTCAGATCTCTATTCTCCATATAGGCTTGAGGTTAGGTATTACACTTCTTTATTACCGCATTGTTTCCTTTTACAGGTAGATCTCCACGCTATAGGCCCGAGATTGAGCTACGTGCCTACAGTCACATTTTAACAGTGGGGACGAAAGGGAAAGGGAGAAGTCATAGGGTGTCGGGTGGATTGACCGACAGTTTGCTGGTAACTTGTACGCGTTTCTAGGCAGGTTACCAGCCTCTATTGGAATAGAACGCGTTTCATCATACTTCCCTCTAGCTCTTCTCAGCTTCTTGTGACCAGAATAATGTGCTCGAGAACTTCGCCATCAGTACCGTATGATGGAATGAATACTGTGAATGGGATTTATCATCTTTGATGTGTTCTCGGTGCCGCCGGAGGATCATACACACGATTGAATGATGAAGGGAGCGGGCGAAGGATGGGTACATGTTGAGCGCCACTGGAGGGTCAAAAGGAAGATTTATCCCCCCAACTCTTATCACATTGAAATGTTCAGGCAATCGGAAACTATAAAAAACAAACCACTACTGCCCCGACTCTGCAACTAGAGCTCGTACACCATGATGGACATCGAAGCGTAGGCAGCACCTCTTCCTATCCACTTTCACCAATCTAATCCATCCTTTGCGACTTTGGCGTCCTGGCGCCACTCACCTTGACACTACAGTTTCCGCAAAGCAGGATATGAAGCCATTGACAATATTTGCAATTATTACAAATCCCTTGAATCACGACCTGTAGTAGCCCAAGTTAAGCCAGGGTACCTCGTCAATGCTCTACCCCATCAGGCTCCTGAATTTGGGGAAGACATCAAAGATATTTCGGACGATTTTCAAAAGCTCATCGTTCCAGGACTTACCCACTGGAAGCATCCTGAGTTCTTTGCCTACGTGAGTGATATTCGGACTCCATATCAATTCCCGCCGTCGCCTCACTTGAACTTTGTAGTTCCCTTGCGGTAATACATTTCCAGGAATCATAGCAGACCTGTACTCGAGTTCTGTCTCAAACCCCTGCTTCAACGTGCGTTCGGCTATGCCATATGTTCCAGGGGCTCGCTTGCTCACCTAGCGCCTTTTTACTTCCCACCAGTGGGTCAGCTCCCCGGCATGTACAGAGCTCGAACAAGTCGTCATGGACTGGGCCGCTAACCTGCTCGGACTCTCGCCTGCATTCCTCAACACCCCTCGAGCCCCACTCCCATTATCTACTCACTCTTCCCCATGCTCTTCACCGGGACCCGAAGGCAGGAGGTCCACTACCAGAGGCGGGGGGATCATTCAAAACACCGCCTCTGAAAGCGTTCTTGTGGCAACCATCGCTGCCCGCGAGAGATTCCTTTCCGCTCACCCTGACGTCCCCTCCGAATGCCTCCTTATCTATCTTAGTACCCAAACGCACAGTTTAGGAGTTAAGGGGGCAAAGATCTTGGGGCTAAACTATCGACTAATGAACGTGGATGCTAGGAGCGCATGGGGAGTTATGGGGGAGACGTTTAGATTGGCGTATGAAGATGACAGGAGGAAGGGCAAGTGGCCCTTTATTTTCAGTGAGTTCTGACTGATTGGCTCTAGGACGTTAGTTGAAAGGACGCGTCGTTGATTTGCGATCCAGTTGGGACGATAGGAACAACATCTTCTGGAGCTAACGACCACATTGAAGAGATAGGTCCAATCAGTAAGCTCTGACTCTCCATTTCACGTCCGACAGTCTGAACGAATGAACTTGAACAACACAGTCTCCGAACTTGACGGTGTCTGGTTACACATTGATGCAGCGTGGGCTGGGGTCTCCTTTGCCTGCCCCGAATTCCGTCGTGCGGGGAAACTCGACGCTATCAACCGCCATGCAGATTCATTCTGCACAAATTTCCATAAATGGGGATTGGTTAACATTGTACGTACCTAGATGAATTCTCTTCCCATGGCGTATTGCTCATTTGGCACTGGTTCGAACCGCCGTCTTATGATCCATAGGAATGCTCCGCTTTTTGGGTCCGTGATCGCAGCGCCCTCATATCCGCCCTGGACGTTACGCCTTCATTCCTTCGTACAGAACAGTACGATGACGGTGTTGTTGTCGACTATCGTAACTGGCAACTCTCCCTTGGGCGTCGTTTCCGATCTATCAAACTCTGGTTTGTTCTCAGGAACTACGGCGTTCAGGGTTTCAGAAGGCATATTCGCAAAGGAGTCAGACTTGCGAAGTTCTTCGCGGATAGTTTAATGTCGGGGGATCCGAAAACCAGGATATTCGAGTTAGTGACGCCTAGGGTATTGGGCTTGGTTGTCTTCAGGCTTGTAATGCCTCCCGTGACTCCAGACGGGCAGCAATCGATCGCGCGAGTGGCCACGAGTGACGCTAGAAACAATCCATCAAGTCATGAAACCCTCAACTCGCTCAACCTAGCGCTTCACCAATACCTCACGCATCCTCCCGATTCCGATTCTGCCAACACACTCTTCCTCACTCGTACCGAGCTGAACGGAGTTACTTGCTTAAGAATGGCTATTGGAGCCGAGGCGACTGCTGAAGCACATATCACGAAAGCAGTCATGATTTTGGAAAGATTTGGGAAGAAAATTTTGACGGATGCGGGCTACATCAAAACTTGCGACGTCGGAGGTTCGGGTATCACTGGTGGGGGTCCACAAACAAGGTTGTGACGCTTACATACGCAGGCTCGTTCTCGATCCTACTATCTTCATGTTGCCATGCTAGAACTAGGTGCGTGATAATATAGCAAGTCAGATGTAAATATGGTAATTAATCCAGTGATTGAACAGGAGTCAAGCCAAGGGCCACCATTCACCTGGATCTCTGCTCAGAGCGGTCGGAGTCATTACGCTATGTTGCCTTTAAGCTATAGGTACCAGTAATTTTCAATATCCATACTGGTGAAGACCCAGCCTTTGGCCTATCCTTTTCCTCAAGATGAAAATGCCAGGTGCGATACCTTCAACCCCAAGTGACAAATACGACATATTCCCGAATTCTCGCCAACGCACCCCTCCAACGCACCCTTCCAACGGACGCTACCTTGGCGACTGATATCACGGCGACCCCGCTATCACAGCGAACACGACTCGCACCCCTCACGGAGCGTAATACTTTGCTTGCAACTTTCTACTGTGGAGTGCGACGAATGGATCTTCCGGCTCAAGCACCACCTTCATCATTCTCGTTACTTCTAGTGACAATCCAATAGGTGTGATCTTGGCTGGACCTTTAACTATATCACCCCATTTTAAACAATCACCACTCTTACTATCTTTATCGATCACAACCATCCTAGTGGCGCATAAGGACGTGGTACAACTGGAAATACGCCTGGTGGCGGTAGGACGGATCTTCGCACCATTGTAGGAAGTGTTCCAGGCGGGTTGTCGACTTTGTCTCCACTTGCGCTGTTCTGCCGTGGGTCACGTTGTAGTCGCGCTCAGGGTCACATTTCTCTACTTCCTTCCTTCGGAGTTGTTTCTTTTTTTCTCCATCTACTTAAGCTAACAGCTGGGACTCGAAACGCTTGTCGCACGCTGATTGGCCGCCTTGCCTTTCTCGCACTCGTCTCGCTCTTTCCCACACTTTGTCGTCTCCTCGTAGGTCTTGAGCGGATCCTGGTTTGTTGACGTCCCACCGGAAGCATTGACGGCCCAGTAGTGGGCCACAGTGGCATGCATGTATACAATGGCGAGACCTCAGCCTCTCTGTGAACGACGAGTCCCACCACTGGCAGACTGCGCAGCAATGATGCGGTGCCTCATCATTAGCCGAGATAGCCCACCGATGTTGGGTTTTCGCCTGACACCTGTTTCAAGGCAAACCGAGTGAGAGAACTTCGTTGCCTCATCATATTCTTGGTGATCATGGGCTTAATTTGGGTCATTCATCTCCCAAGGCACGAATGACGTGCTCAGATCATATCACTCCGGCGTTCTGGCATCGACGCCGTCGGTGTTCACTTTCTCGCCCGTAAAGTCGTAAATACTAGTGAAATAAGCACCGCCTCCGTCCAACGTACGATGACCTGCTTCTGCGAGGCCTGAGTCCTCATGTGGATTTGGGATGCTACCTAATCCGTGTTAGTTGAGACCCTATCGACAACCTTAGAGTGTTCATCACCCCGTTAGACGATTTGCATCAATCCACGCGCTGCAGCATGGCGTCAACCCAAAAAGCTCCCGCAGTGATGATCCGATCCGGCACGGTGTATAAGGAAGTTCCAGAGCTTCTCCCGAGAGGTCATGTCAGCTGGTTCCTCTCAGTACCATGAGTGCTCCAGCCTACATCGACACATATTGGGGATCGAGGGGTGATGTGAACCGTCATGCTTCGAACGGCGCGGTGTGCCCTTTATATGCGAATATCATCATCCTTGGGAAAAACTAACACCAGCGCAAAGAAATCCCATGACCGGAATCCAGTGATTCCTGTGTATGAATTTGCTTCGCGAGCACCAATTTGGCCTCGCGCGGCTTAATATTTCTCCGCGGCGCTTCCACCCACACAGAATAAATTCAGCGGTATACGATTGGTAGGGGAAACCACAGCCGGTGTTAAGCGGGCTACTATCATCAGGGAATAGTATAGTACTGTCGGGAACATTTCCAGTGTCCCTCACGTACGCCCTGGTACAACTTAGCCACCCTGCTACGCCACTGCGAGGCCGAGGGGCAACAAAAGAGAGTACAATGACAACTATAAATCTACCTACAAATTCCAAAATGAATAATCGCAACTTCCTATGGCATTAGGCAGGTGATCAGCCTCTATAGTATAGACTATGGCATCCCCATTGGACTGGAGTCGAATTACCATTGTCCCGGAGAAGATGTGCAACGCATGTGTAAGCTCAGGCAAGGAGGGGCATGTAGGTGAATGCTTCTGCTTAGGGCAAAGTTTTCATTCCAATACCATGTGGCTCGAACAATATGAGAACGAATTGTAAACATGAGATTGACAGCTACACGGAGCGAGCGAAGGCACTTAGCATGAAGCACGGACTAAATAACATTCCCACAATGGTAATCGAACATCGCCTGCCCCTAATTTTTTTCCAGTCCTCACATCTTAGGGGGACGCCACGCCCGGACAGAGTCACGATGGAAATGTTGCCCTGTGCAAGTATATACCAAAATCAACTTATAACCCCGCCGGGTGAACGAGGCTCGTTCCAGGCTACCCGCAGACGATATAGATGCGGGACCAGGACTATTGCATAGCCTTTTCCGACGGTGCAGCCCGTCGTAATGAGAATGGCGAGGGTACTCCTGGAACGAAAATGGGAATGGGAGTGGGACTCAACCCCCCTGAAATAAGCGAGGGCGATCCCAGCATCACTGATGATGTTGCTGGTAGCATAGCAGCAGATCGAGAGATCTACAGCGAGTGGAAATGCGTAATAGCAATGGCCCTTGGGTGTGAATAGCTGTGCACCTCCTTGGTTTTTCCTTTGGTTGTCCTGGCGATTGTTACAGGGTACGTATGACATCACTGCAGCATACACTGATGAGACACGCTCAGTGCTGCGCCCGCGCAACAACAATGCTCCTAGCTAGTAGCCACAGAGCATACCCACTCGCGGATGCGGATGATACCGTGTGCACCGCGTACGTAAGACCCATGTTTCTGTACGCCGCTTCATACATACAGCTTTCATAGATGTCTGCGGCGCGGAGCTGAGCTAAAATGAAAAATGGATTTCATTTCATGGATCCGTGCATGTGGGGACAATTCCGGAGTTATCAATTCATTTTGCTGTTCGGCTGGACAGGAGCGTAGTCCCCATTGGATGGAGATGCGCATGACAACTGTTGCCGAATGTCGTGATCACCATCTTGTGCGTGAAGGAACCAACGCAGACAGGGATTCAATATTCATCTTCCTTGAGAACATCTGCTGGTAGGGGAATTCAGGAAACGAAGAGTTAAAGGAAGGGGAGGAGAGTACATACTAGGGTCAACTTGGTTCGCAATACCACACTAGGACTTATCTCTAGATTACCCACGCAACATTGCAATCATTCTTACGGGACCAACCGGGTTCTTTTCACGGAACTAAGTCATATTCCTTATTGATGTACCTGAAATTAGGTCAGCGATCGCGATTGCGCTAAAGTTGGCAAACATTCACATGCAGTCCGTGCTGTGTTAGGATGCGATTCTGTCTAATAACTCACCTATCGGTATATTCTGGAGAAAATGGCTGTTGACGATAGCGAATCGCGCGCATGGTTGCGAAGCCTGTTGGAGTCTGAAACGGAGTTACATATAGCTCATGCTCTAGTTAGGCACTAGCTTCGGCAGTTACTGGGAAGTGATGGTGGTGTTAGCGCATGCGTTTCACCCTTCCACGCCGGCTCCGTGTCACTTGCAATATATATGGGCTGGGATACGTGTTCCGATCCGAAGGCCAGGCTCGAAAAAAAGGATGATGTCATCAGACTCATCAGGGCGTTGTGTGCTCAGCAAGTGAAGCAGCCATCACTCCGGGCTACATCCGGAACCGCGAGTCTCATAGGCGAATCCGGCACCGGAAATAACAAATGGCTCGCAAGCTCGGCCGATAAGAGCACGGCGCCAAGAATATCATACGCATTGTGGGTGAGCAGTGCTGACTGACAAGGCGGCCCGAAGGCATAAGACATTAAATTCCGGGCCTCGCAAGAGAGAACGTGGTCTCCAGTGATCTCGGCATGTGACCAATTGAAATAGTTTCATCAGCACTTTGCCAAGCGTGGGCCAAGCCGATGGTAGACACGGAGCCTGGTGAACACTGTGCATTGGTATCAGAACCTGGAGCGACTAGTGGTGGAAGAATCGGTGACGTGGTTTCACAGGAATTGGATTAACATTGTCCTTTGGGTTGGGAGTGCAAGCTCTATTAGGAAAGTATTCTTCTGCCAACAACAAGAAAAACAAATGCTTCGTAAGCTCGGCCAATCTTATGGGAAGGCAAGTGAATCAAAGTTTGAGGTCACGATATCCCTGAATATGTGTATGCAATAGAGTGTGGGTAAATAGGATGACTATGCCCATACTTGAATAAGCACGAATGCCTAAGTAGACTTTTCTCTCCCACCTTACTCTGAAACTTCCTCTCATCCTCTACTCCCCCAACGTCAACGTCACCAACACCATAGCCAACCATGGCAAATGGTCTGAAATCAGCCATACACAAAGTGGATCATCTCTTCCACCACCACCATCATAATCATCAGCACCATCGAAAGGAAACCAAGGACAAGAGCACACCTAATGGAAGTGGTGGACGATCGACCCCTACAGCTACGGTCGATTACGCGAGTCAGCGGGCTGCGAGGAAGAAAGAACGCGCGCTGAAGAAAGCCGAGAGGGATCGGAAGAGGAAAGATGCGGGAAAGGTGGTTGAGAGCGCCAAGAAGGAACGGTTGGAGGCTTTCCAGAGGGCTTATGTGCGTTTTCTTCCATCTCTTTTCTCCACAGTTATCGTCAAGTTCCATTTGCCTTTCCATCCTTGTTCCTCATCGCTCCGAGGCGTCATTGTGGACATGCTTTTGCTCACGGAAATGTTTTTCGTTTCGTGCTTGAACAGGAGGAAGATCCCGCGAGGAGAAATTTCGGATATATCCCTCATGATGGGAGGTTAAGAGCGGAACAGATCGCTAGACAGGACATTTCAACTGTCACCCAGTCGTCCATTGGACAAGTCGTTTCGTTCCGTGCACGTATACATACATGTAGACCAATGAGTGAGTATTTTTTTGGTTCATCGATTTCCTTTTCGTTCGATCCCATTGCATGGATCCCTTTCGCGGCTGGGTTTTGCCTCGTGAATGTCGCGAGGTTGGTGTATGCGCGGCGTTGGGACCCCACCATCGTCCTTGTCGTCACCGGCCATCAACCGGGGACTTCACATTATAACTTCACATATGGAGATATTTTTGATGAAGTCTTCAATTTCGACGATCCCTGCATAGCAGTGCACCCCTATCCGCACTAGTTCCCCTTTTCATAATGATAGCGTTACCCACGTATTCACTTCCCATTTCATTTCTTTCATTTTGAACGCTACACGCATTACTTATCATTGGAATCGGTACTGACGTTGAGAATAATCAGGTTCCAAGTTAGCATTCTTCGTCCTTCGCCAACACGCCACAACTCTCCAAGGAGTCCTTCGTACATCCCCGCCCAACCCACCCTCAGAAACTCATCATGTAGATGTATCGGAATTAATGGTTCGATTCGCAGAGAGGTTACCGCGGGAGACGATCGTACTCGTTCAGGGGATTGCGAAGAAACCCGTTCAGGATGTGAAGAGCGCCGATGCCCACGATGTTGAGGTTCACATTCAAAAGGTAAGGTTTGAATTTTAGATTTTGCGATTTTGCGTTCTTCTGCGTGGGATCTGGGGTTATAACGTTTGTGCCCGAGGTGCCCGAGCCGCTGAGTCAGGGCTTGTTGTGCTGCGGTATTGGGTTGGCCGTTGCCCGAAGGTCCGACTTCTATATCTGATCTCAGCCACGTGCCGGACCCTTCCACCTGGGCTCCGAACTTCCGATCCCGAGCTCCGAAGCGCGTGGTTTTTAGTTTCGATTTTAATATTGCTCCAATGGTTGCTCCATTTTGCTGACGTGGTGATCTCTTTCCGGCTTCCTTTCGATTTGATTGGTAGTTGTTCGTTCTTGCCGAGGTCACTGAATCTCCGCCGTTCCACGTGGAGGACGCTGCACGACCTCTCAAGGTAAATACGTCGCTCTGCGATTTAACGACGACTAGCATCCATGATCATCTTCTCTAGGCGGCTGAAGAAGGCAAGCCGACTGTTAACGTCCAGACTAAACTCGCCAATCGTGCCATCGACCTCCGTACCCCCGCTTCCCAATCCATCTTTCGCATTCAGTCTGCCATATGTAAACTCGTTCGCGAATACCTTGACGACAAAGGGTTCATGGAGATTCACTCCGCTAAACTTCAGGGTAGCGCTACTGAATCGGGAGCCTCCGTTTTCAAAGTGGATTACTTCAAGCGAGCTGCTTACTTGGCTCAGAGCCCACAGACGTCCAAGGAAATTGCCATCGGTGCAGACTTTGAACGTGTGTACGAGATCGGACCCGTTTTTCGAGCGGAGAACTCGAACACTCATCGACATATGACGGAGTTTACGGGGATCGATCTCGAGATGGCTATCGAACACGATTATCACGAGGCGATGTGGATCATTGATGGGTTGTTGAAGCATGTGTTTAAGGGGTTGAACGAAAAGTACGAGGATGTGATCGAGAAGGTAAAGGCGCAATTTCCTCACGAGACGTTCGTTTTTCCGGAGAAGACGATCGTTCTTACGTTCAAGGAAGGCGTGAAGCTGTTAAGGGAGGATGGATGGGGTCTTACGCCTGATAAGGAGGTGGATGAATACGAGGATCTGTCAACGAGAGCTGAAGTTCGGTTGGGACAACTTGTGAAGGAGAAGTATGGGACGGATTATTACATCATCGACAAGTTCCCCAGATCTGCGCGACCGTTCTATACGATGCCTGATCCGGACGACCCGAATTTCACGAATGCGTTCGATATATTCTGTCGTGGGGAGGAGATATTATCGGGTGGACAGAGATTGCACTCTGCGATCGCGATGGATGGGTCTATGAGGAAGAATGGGATCGATCCGAAGGATATGCAAGAGTACATTGATGCGTACAAGTGGGGGATGCCTCCTCATGCAGGCGGAGGAATCGGATTGGAGAGGTTGACGATGTTGTTCTTGGGGCTTGGGAACATTAGAGCTGCGAGCATGTTCCCTAGGGATCCGAGAAGCTTTGCGGGAAATCCGTTGGTTACGGATGTGGGGAAGGGTGTTATCGTGTCGGCTAGGATGCCCGTTCCTACGAAGGGTGTGCCGGCTTTCGATGAGCCGGATAGTTTGAGTAAAGATCCGTTGTTTAAACCTGAGGAACATCCTACACTTCCAGACCTTATCTCCACGTATGGGGATAGTACCAATACGGGTGAGTTGACACTTTTTTCTTCTCCTTTTCCCTCCGGATCGCGAGAGCTGATGTGGGTTTTTTTCGTAGCTTGGTTGGACATTATGTACGAAGTCTGGCGGTACGGGCCTACTGGCGCTGCTATTGGCTTCGTCGATTCGAAGGGTGCGTCATCTTGAATTAGATTTATTTCCACCTCTAACCTTTCTTCTTTAATCCAGGCTTCGCTGTTACTTGGGGAGTCCCGCTCTGCCCCAAAGAAGACCACGCTAAAGTCGTCGCGGCTTACCTCACATGGCTCCACGAAGAACGTCATCTTAAACCTGTCTGGCTAGCGACAGATCAACGTACGGAGAAGTTCCTCGCTGATGCACATGGATGGCGTGTGTTGTCTGTTATTTCGGAACAGAGGGTTGAAATGGGAGGGGATTTGACTGTTGGGGATAAGAATGTCCAGAGGAAGAGAGCGAAGGCCGAGAAAGATGGACTGAAGTTTATTGTTATTGATGATGAGATTACGCCGGAGCTGCAAGGGGAGTTGGAGAAGGCTATTAGGGCTTGGTGAGTACCCTGTGTCCAACCCGTACAGTACCGGATCTCCCGATGCTGATCACCTGGTTTTATAGGCAAACGGGAAGGAAGGGGACTCAGATCCACACGACGAATGTCCGTCCTTTCGCAGATGTCAAGCACCGCAGTTACTTCATTGCTCGAGATGGCAACGGAACGGTAGGCCGCCTTCTTTTTATCTCTTCAACTTTAGACGTCGCGACTGAACTCGCTTGATTTTTAGCTCGCGGGTCTCGTCGTTCTTGCTCAGCTTGCCCCCCAGAACGGATATCAAATCAAATGGTCTCTTGCTTTCCCCGATTCTCCACCTGGAACATCTGAGTTCCTTAACTCTCACGTCATGGAGGAGATGCGCAAGACGGGTGTTTCTCGTGCGACGTTTGGCGTTGGAGCTGCAGATAAAATGGAAGCTGTGGAGAATTTGAGTGGGTTTAGGACAAAGGCGCTTGCGGAGGCGTACAGCTCAATCGCGAAAGCGTTCCATCTTACTAATAAGAGTGATTATCGGTACGTGATGGATTTCTTTGAGGTGAATGAGTGGGTCGGAATTAAGAATTATCATTCCCTTATTCAGACGGAAGTTTGGAGCGATAGACGAGGCTCTTTACGTCGCTTATCCGAAGGGTGGTCTTGGTTTGAAGGGCATCGAAGCCATCATCAATTCTGTGCGGGACAAGCCAAAGAAGGCCGAGAAGAAGATGCGGAAGGAGAAGCTCAAGGGTAGCGATTCAGCCAAGTCCGAGAAGACAAGTTCGTTCCATTTACCGTTCCATCACCATCATCATCATAGGAGTGATAGTACGAAAGTGAAGAAGACTCCTACGAATCTATCGACAGATACGGACACGAGCGACACTTCTGTCCCGTCGTTGAACATTACGGGAACCGGTCTCAGTAGTTCTACTCCCACTCCGAGCGCCCGCTAGTCTTGGGGAACCAGTCAGGCATGGTATATTTATTCACGTGGTTGACCTGAGGGGAAGGAATGGGTAGTGTCCGCGGTTTCAGGTCATTCGTCTGGCTAAATTTTGACCAGACGTTCTGGAACTGGTAGCTGCCATTTGCTTCCCCTTGACCTTGTTTCTTTTTCCGCTCCTCTCTTCAACTTGTATCTGGTTAGCTCTGGTTGTATGAACTTCTCGCCTTGTTGTGCATGTCTCTGGTGGGTTTGGCTGCGCCTCTTCCGCTCTGTATATGGAACCACCCAAATCGCGTCAATTTTCCGCTTTTGTATCACTGGTTAACATGTAATACATTCTTTCGATGGGGTTTCGAACACCCTTGTGCAAGCTGCAAACTTGTGCCCTCAACCTGCGAGCATAGTACTTAACGGACCTTTTTACGCTAAACGTTCCCAGGGAGGATGCATGCAGGTCCTAGCTTTCGATTAAGATCCTGTGCGGCCGGAAGCTCATTGGTACGCCAGGTCGGCGAGATATGTTCGCCCAGTGCGGCGGAGCCATACTATCTAGCTCAAGGAACGAGAAAACAGCACTTAAAAACGCACGTCTATACACAGCAAAACAGACATTCGCTCATTAGTTTTGCCGATTTGCTTTATTCCTCGCCGACACATTCAGTCACAACGTACTCCGTTCGACTAATCACATTAACTCTCTTACTAGGTCAAATAAGGTCAAACCTCGCTAAACGCTATGAAACACCAGTGCAGGGTAAAAAGGCGGACGTGCTACATCTATTGGACTCGTGGCCGATTGGCTGGGGAGGGTCAAATCTCGCCAAATGCTATGAAATACCAGCCCAGGATAAAAGTGCGGACGTGCTCAAATGACCCAAGTACATCTTCTAGTAAGTAATAGGCAATTTCCCTATCGGCTGAGCCCTGGCTACGGAGGTCCGACCATTCAAAGTTGACCCCAAAGACCGCAATTCCAAAGGAAGGAAGCTCAGCCTGGGGAATGGGAACAACGCGCAAATGATGGAGAACAACCAGTTTCCAAGCATCGAGACGACGAGGAGATAAATCGTCCGTTCGTATGAACTTTTTTTTTGGTTCACATTTTACGTCAGAGGGTAGTAAAGTACCAGTGTGAAGAGTTAAATGGTTTGGGAAGCTGAATGCTACACATCACGGCGAACGTGAACAAAGGAATGGTGTGTGTGGCAACTATATTTGCAATGTGACTCGAGATTGCCATATTTGCGCAAAACTTTGCATCTCGACTGCTTGGATACCGAGAGAGAAGATGAAAGACGTGGTTCTCCAGCCACATCCTTTCAGTAGCATCACTTTAGGGGATGTTGAACGAGGTTACATATTGGCTCCATAATGGCGAGTGGTGCCTCACACATTACTGGTGAAACATTCATACATGGACCAAAGTACATTCTTCGGAACGGGCTTGGTATATCCGTGGCTTGTATTGGGAACACTGTTTTGTACAAGTGTATGGTCAATTGTCTAGGATTCCAGGTACGGTCGTTAGAGAGGATGAGCTATCCAATAGCCCTCTAGTTCGGGTTGCATACAGTGCAATGACTAAGTCTCTAGCACACCGGGAGCCCTGCAATAAAGGGAAAAAATGGGGATCGTCCCTCCGTCGTACTGGGCCGGGGCCTTAGTGGGCCTGCCAACATCCCACACTCTCATGCCATACCAATTCTGCGAAAGCAGTCTGCTCATGAAACCAAAACTTTTCGAAACGAGCTGCGGTACTTGATGTCACTGTGGATCATGATGATAATAGTTGCCAGAAACTTCATGGAAGAGCAGCACGGTATTCTGAATGTGTGACAAGAAATACGAAGAATCTTGCGGTGAGCGGGCATGGTATTGGTCACCGTGGACGGGTGTTCCCGGCGCCTTCAACAACAAAGGCGGCACTCGACGACGTGATCGCCGCACGAATTGATATTTTAGTCGTAACTACCTGACGAGGGCTTGTTCGCTTGCTCTGCTATGCCTCGCATCCCTAGCAAGAAATTAGTCACTGGGTTACATGGTGTCAACAAGCAAACCTGCCTCCTTTAGTGATTATCTCACTTTGACCGGAGGCAGCGTTTCCAACTCTTCGGTGGAACATTTATCCTTCACGACTACTCTGCTGTATTGTTGTCTATGGCTATCTGTCGCCTTAAGCTCAGGTGGCATGTTTCCCTTCTGCACATCGATTACCAGCCTTCCTTGCGTGTCATTTGACTATCCACCTGCACTACTCTCCGCATTCCACGAACGATCCGTATGACACATCTTCACTCCGCCGGACCATTTCTACTAGACGACGTCCCCAGGATGTCTTTCAGGCCCCTGTACTCGAATTTCGATGCAGAAGAAACAAGGATGAAACAGAAGGAAGATGATTTCTTAGCGGCCAAGAAATTTCATGCTGATGCAAAGGCCACAGTAGAGGAAGCGAAGAAGGCCGAAAAGCTTGCAAAACGCGAGTTCGAATTTTCGCGGGAGAACTATCGGCGTCGTCTGGGGGTTGAGCGGGAGGTGGGAAAACTCTACAGAAAGCGCGGAGTTCATCCCCTTCAGCAAACAGTCACAACCCCTTTAGCTGGAGTTCTTTCAGCGATCTCTCAGCCCCTTACCCTCGCCGAGCCCGGCCCCCACCAAATGTCCCCTGTCCAACGGGGCTCGCCAGTAGCCGCGTCTTACACCCATTTCCCTCCTTATGCCCCCAGAACTCCTCGTACGACTCCTGCTTCCAAGGCTTTCCATCCCTCCCAGTCATATTTTTTGCCCACGGCGGTGTCCTCTTATTACCCTTATGCCCACGCTGCGTACATAACCCCAGAACTTTCTTACCCTTACCCATACGTTAACACACCACCCCACTCTCCTGTTGGACAGCCCCTCTATCACAATCCCACCATGACTTACTGGATGGGTGACACTGAAGTTGACAGCCTGATCTGTAACTAAATGTATGCATTCTGACCGAATCGTAGTTAGTACATGCTTTTTATTGGCCGAGATTTGCGCGACGTTTGTCTCGTCATGACCCGAATACGACATCTGTTACAAGAATTATGTATTGGACCCTTTGCAGATGCAGTGCGCAGCAAAACAGTTTTCCTTCTTGAACTGGACTTGTTGCTTGAACCGATTGATGTTAAGTAAATATGCGAAATGACAGGGACGTTTGAGTGGGCATATTGACGAGGAATCCAGACGAATTACTCGAATCGGCCTGCAGTTTCCGGTGTCAAACTGAATGGATTCGCGCAGACAATTGAATCAGAAAGCTATCTTGTCAATCACAAGTCAAACAATAACAAAGGCAAATGACCACAAGAGTTCCCCTTGTTGGCCTTGCTTTCGACGCGGTATCCAGGGACCGGTACAGAGACACTTTCAGTTCAAAACCCCGGCTACACGGTTTATTCCTACAGGTGGCTCACGGATCTGACGATCGTTCTTCGTCCTTGAATGTCTGCTATCCAACACAAACGATTAGTTGTCTCTAGTCAACCTCCAGCCCCCTGTATAACATGTTGTCGCACGTCAACGCCGGCAAACATTGTTGCCTCACTAATTACATAAGTCCGCATGAGACTCGAGTGTCAAGATACCGAAGGATTTGCCATTGGCAACTTCTTCTCGAACAGCGAATCTATTGATCCTTTCTCTTGACGCCCAATCACTTATCGCTCTAAAACCGAGGAAGGGACTGCCTTTTTGGTGTCAGACTATTTAAGACCCGCGTGTCTGCGCACCGGATACTGCGCGCTGCTCCTCTGCAAGTCCTCCTTTTTTCCATCCCCTTAAATATTTTCCATCTGCGCCGGTCGCCTCTTTCCTTCCCTCTGGACTTCACATTATTTATACATATTGGGACTCGACACTGACATGGCTTTTTACCCTTACCCCGCGCAAAACGGTGTATACGCTGCCCCCATAATAGCGCAGACGGTATCACCATATTCTAGCCATTACTCTAGCTTTGATGAAAGAGAATCCGTGGTCGAAAGGTGTGGAAAGGAGTTTTTCCAGGCGAAAAAACATGCAGAGGAGGCGCAAAGGGTGGAGCACCATTATGGACACGCCTACCAGAGGGCCAAGGAAGACTTCGAGAGACGTAGGAAGATCGAAAGGGATACTGAAATATATTATCGTAGTCGAGGTCTCCGACCACCTTCTTACGCGGCCGCATATCCCCCTGGGTCCTTCGTCTCGCCGGTGACAGCTGCTGCGCCTATTCTCACCTCCCCTCTTCAGTATAGCCCATCGTTTGTCCCAAGTGGGCCAACGCCGTACGTAGCCCCCCAAAGCACACCTAATTTCGCTTCGGGACCTATCCCGTCCTACCCTGGTGGGGCGTATGTGACTCCGGGGATTCAGATAGACCCTTGGCAGCATATTGCCCCTGCACCCGCCTATTATAACGTATCTCCGCCTCCGCCTAACCCCTTCTCTCTCACTCCAGAATCAACACGGATGGCGAGCCAGGTCCAGCCGAATAAATGGAAAACGGGAAAAACTTCCACGCTTTTTCAGAACGAGCGACGTCCTCAGGAGCTAAACTCCCATCGATCGACTGTTCACATCCACCCAATGCTCTCTAGTGTAGATGGGAAAACCTATCCGCTTATCGTAGATCTTGCGAGGAGGCGCAAGGACATCACTTCGATCGAGGAACCAGGGACGCGCTGGGAGGACGAAGAGATATTGTCACAGCCCGCAACCTTGCCCAGAGTCACTCGCCTGAGACTTATGTCTCCGAAGGTTATGGGTCCTATTCAGATTGTCAACCGAGGAGGAGTTACGGTGCGTTGTAGCCTTCCACCTTTCAATACCAGTCGCCCAGTTCTAATTCTCAACGTTACCACAGGTGAACGATGTTTTTATCCATCTATTTGATCACTTTCACCAGCCAATACCCAGTCCTGCTATCCCCGAGGAATCCCTTGTACAACTCCAAATAGCCTATCGTGCAAACATGCGGCAATGGATGGGAGACCCCACACAAATGCCTGACCATTTCCGAACAGTTGATAATCTTTACGGAGAACCTATTTTCGACGGTCTCCATGCTGATCCCGATCTTGTTGACGAGTGGCTGGGCGAACGTGATGCCGCTACCCTTATAATGAACTTCAAGTCAAGGACCTCACTCGGAGATATGTAAGTACTCGATGTGAAGGCCACGTTTCCTCATCTTACTTGATTCGAGTTCTCATCCTTCGTCGCCAATAGATAGCAGCCTCGCTCTCCAGCCATATCAAGCTCAAGTAATATCACTTGCTCCTCCCCCCATTGCCATCGCGGCCGCGGAACATTGGGAGCCGCCGCCTCCAAACGTTACCCAAGCATCCCAACCACACATTCATGAAGAAGATCTCTTCAATGCATTGTGTGCTCAGCAAGAATGGAAGTTTGAGCCTCTTGGACGCCGTCAGAAAATAGGCAGATTCTTTCGTCGTTTGGTGGGGAAAGATTAGCGTCCCCGCCCTATTCCCTTTTCAGTTAATATCGGACTAATCACTAATCTCTACCCTTTTCGCTCATTTATAATCCCGGTTTCTTTTGCCCTGTCCACAACCTGTTATGATCTGTACGGATTTTTCACGCATTCACGACTACGATATTGAGTTGCGGCATGAAAACTTTGAGGCTTAGAGCCAGACAATGGATGAGCACGTCATTTTTCTGGTGTGATTGGTGTTGAGGAATACAGGACTACGTGTAGCGGCATTTATCAAACTCAATGAGGGTGGTGTCCAAGGACAACTCGATCCCTACATATATATGCCGGCCTTCATTGGGCAGTGCTAGAAATGTTTCCACCCAGACGATATCCTTTGCAAGAATCAAGAGAACACAAGAAAGATAGGTATATAACCCACCTCGAGAGATATCACCTAGTGGGGCAAATCCTCCCATCGATCTTCAACACCGGCCACACATTTTCCGAACATCTGTAAGTGGCGACTCGTCAATGGAGGAGGATCTCCGCACGCACTACTTGGCCGGACAAAGGAGGATGGGTGCACTCCGCGGGTCGGACTCGTCAGGCCGAGTTTGGACCTGAAAGATGCGGTCCTGGAAGAAAGTGCCTAGTATAACCTATTTGGAATGGGTAATAGATAGTAGTATAGATACACTAGCGAAGCCGCAAAATGGTCTAGGACACGGGTGTCCCCACAGGTCCTCTCGCACTTTATTCCCGCATCGAGCCACGGTTGATGCTTCCAGGATGTGCAAAACTGAAGCTTAGTCTGAAACTCGACCCTCGGCTTTGTGGCGGCGGGAATCAGTGACAAGGCGTGGCAAATGCTTAATGCAAGTGCAGTGGCTACAACAGAGATCAGAAAGTATGACTTCACGCCAATAAAGGCTGGTAACCTACTTATCTTTCGCGGCTTGCAGCTTGAGATACTGACTAGCGCCGCCCCTTGTTCACAGTGGAAAATATTTACCATTTTTTGTCTGGTAAAATACGAGCTCAAACACCACTGGAGCGGCGGTAATATACCAATTTGTATGCAGTAATTGACCAGAAATGGATACCAGACCAAAAATGGTGAATAACATCAGTTTTTCTGGTGATGTACGATGTTTTTTATGGTAAACGGCCATTTTTACCAGATTGGTATTTGGTCATTTACTGATTCGTTGTTGGTACTTTACGATCTTTGGCATGGTACAATATGGGTCAGAGAATATTCATTTATATGATAGTTAATACACATAGTGTGGCCATCAGAAGTGACCCACAGGCGATGCACGAGCAGTACAGTACCAAGAGAGATAGAACGGTAGTGGAAAACTCGAAGCATTCTATGCGAAAAAGAGCAGAGGTGGGATTGGGCGGAGTTGAATGAGTCGGCGATAGCAGTGTGAATAAGAGTGAAAGGAGTCAGCACAAGTGACCAGAGAGAAGTACTGTAAAAAAGTAGTAGTTAGTACATGGGTTATGACTTTTGGGAGTGATAAGCGATGGAAGACATAGCTAGGTCAAATCCCTGATGGCTTGGGCATCGGCATTACTCTGCTTTTTCCCTTGCTGTTTGTTGTATGGGATGCTCCATGCTCGATCGCATCACATGATGAGTTGTCAATATGTGTCAGGGCCCGGCCTCGGACTCGGAGGCTCCCTGACCTCAACCCCCATCTGGCCTGTCCTCACACTATGCGGGGCATGAGATGTATAGTAAGAGGAAAGATAATATATACACTTGCCTATGCAGGGCATGAGATGAGAAGAAGGGTAAAGGTCTCATCTCCCCGCATGGTTGCTATATAAAGGAATGGGTCACATGCCCACAACTATACAGCTCCTAGAGTTGTGTAGTGTGACCTGGAGGGAACATCCAGGTGGCAGTGCCCAGTAAGCGTGGGAATCGTTCTGGGCGAGTTGCTCACCCAGAACTGTGGCTGTGACCCGTGGGAACATTCTGGGCAAGCTGCTCGCTCAGAAAGTTCCCACGCTATCCTGTGCGCGCGTGTGTACACAACACAGAAAGGCAACAACAAGGCAACAATGAAGGAATGGAAGGAAGGGATTGGTTGGGGAGTCTGGGGCACCCTAGGGCAGGGTGCTGAACCCTGACAATACAGCTCTTTGGGTTGGGCATTCAGCGACCCACTCAATTTCATAGTCTCACGCTCAGGGTGTTTTGAAACAAGCTTTGAGAGTCAGTTAGAACAGAGATCCGCAAGAGAAATAAAGGGACCAACCATGTAGCTTCTCCAAGGGCGTCGAGTGTGCGTGAGACTACATGTCAGACATCATGCCCAAGAAGGCCATGTGAAAACTTGGCCTTGCAGATCAGGAGTTTTGATTTTCTGTGCAACAGAGAGATCCACAGATCGGGTGAGTCCCATGAGTATATGCTATGCTCATGAAGAGGAGAGTGCATCGCAATCTAATGAAGGACAAAAGACGTGTGGAAAGACGCGTGGAAAGACATGTGATAGGATGCATGATAAGGCATGTCAGACAAGACTGATGATGTTGGAATTCTGATGGTTATGGCTCATTTGCCATGGAAAGCGTGTTGCCTCACTAGTGGAGCAATATAACAGGCTAAGAAGACTCAATGAAGCGTGTTTTTGGCCAAAATACACAATAGCATTTAAAGTCGGGAGGAGGGCAGATGGTGAGAGGCAAAGGTAAGGGACTTGGGAGTTGCCGAATGCAACTTATGCACCACAACTGTTAATGCATCGCTCCAAACTGTCAACGCGTTGAAGGAGAGAACAAAGGAAGGTCAGTTGGGAGGTTCAAACGAGACCACCACCAAGCTGTTCCCTGGTTCTTTAGTTAGGATGGGGAAGTGTACTAGTGTTATTTATTGTAAATATAGTACCAATCCGAGTGTTTTGGCTAATTCTATTTTTATGGGTTAGTTTTAAAGTTCCTGGGAATTGACTTACAGATAAACCGAGCCCTGTGGAGCTGTTTCTTTATTGAAATTTCTTAATTTGTCTAGGTGTAATTCTGTGTAGCATTGTTTAATTTGGATTTAAACTTGAATTTAATCTTCTACTTGGTGAAGTTTCAAAGATTCTATTCAGTTAATGAATTTGGATTGTGCCTGGAGTGTCCCTTGGGTTTGTTTTATTTTTGTCTTATTTTATTGCTTGTTTTAACAGTAGCAAGATAACTGTTTTGTGTTTACACTTTGAAATCTGGAGTGTTAACCAGCTCTCCTGTTGAAATATCTACTTAATATTTCTCTCCTTAATTGCTGCCTTTTACTACAGTGGCAATCTTAACTGTATATCACTTTTCGCACTGGAGTGACAACCAGAAATGCTTGAGAAAAATAATACTCTATTTTCTTACTTCTCTAAGGGGGGCGAAAAGTCGCAGAAAGGGTCTCCCTTTTATACTCCTTGGGTCGCCTTCCTTTTTCACGCTCTACCTTCTATTTACAGGATTTATTTACAGTGTATTTTTCTCAAACTGAATAAAAAATGAAATTTTCACGCTATAGTTCTACTGCGCTTTTGCTGCGCTGAACTGCGGTTCTACTGCGGTCAGACTGCACCTAGAATCCTTATTGTCCTCCCTTGCCTAAGCTATTTTAATGGTTAATTAGAACTTGGCTGCGCTGCATTTGTCGCAGTTACCTATTTCAAATTCCCTATATATACCATTAAATTTGCTATGACTCGATGATTCTGAATTCAAACTTCGCATTACTATGCGTACGGCTGTGCTGAGACCTTCAGCTGATTTATTCCATTTTTATTTAGTGACATTTAGTTAAAATGAGACTGAAATGGTAAATGAGTGAATTATTCAGGTTTAAAACTGAAAGAAAAAGTTGCTAGTAGTCAAGAATTACTCAAACGAATGTGTTATAGCTCTCCACCTCATTAGAATATCGTTCCCTAAAATTCCTGCCATGGTCCGTCGTAGTTTAGTGGTTTTCGTGAATTTCGTTCATATTCCCTGATTCCCCTTTGTATTATCACATCCTAATCCTCCATATGTATTGTTCGTTGTTATAGTAGGTCGTCCTTGAAGATATCATATTTTTATGTATTTTATTTAGGACTCTGGACCTCTTGAAGCTGTTTTCCCGCGCGTTTTCAGGTTTCTAACTTCATGTCCCTATATCTCATTCATTTCTGGATGTTTTCTCACGTTCTTGGTATCATAAATTTTCATTTATTCCCACCTTTCCAATGGTACCAAGGTTGTGTCCTATTTCCTGGTATTCGTTGAGTTAGCAAAAGTTCGCGCGCACATTCGGTAATCACGTGCATCATTCCCATAGTCGTTCGTATGCGGGTGCCGTTTCCGTTTAATTGTTCGGGATTTATGATATGCACGGGTTTTTATTTCTTTCATATGGGCTTCTGTGATTTATTTCAGATTTTTCCCTCATGATCTAAGGTTGTTTTGCACTTTCTGTGCTTTGTTTTGACCGGGCTCTTCCTTATTTGAACGGAAATTGGTCTTCGCAATCTGCCGAAGTGCGGATCTCGGTTCCAACGGCCGGTTCCCTGCGCATCGCCACCCTCACGTGTCATTACACATGATGCGGATTTCTATATTCCCGTCATGGGTATAACTTCACAACGGCTGGACCGTTTGGGCTGAAAATTTGCATAACTATAGTTCCCCATTTTTAATAATTTCCGTGTAAATTTCGTTGTATGTTTTAATTATGGTTCCTACGCAAACATCGTCTTTTCCCTGAGCTCGGACTTTTGATGTCGCTATTCCCGTTATTGGATATCTCATTAACGCATGATCCTTTTATTATGAAAATTTGGGAGGATTAAGATTAGATTCCTTCCTTTCTAATGGCCTATCAAGCTTGTCTCGGTCGTTACTGGTTAATTTTCGCGCTTGCCTTTTAGATATTGTCCTCGTTTTGCAGGAGTTTTAGTCATATCTCCGTCGTTTATGGGTAGTTTCCCCTGTAATTACTCTCATTGGGTCTGTTTGGGGGACATCTACATTTCCTATTATAAACACGA